GTGCTGTCTCCTGTTTTACTTGCTCAGTCCCTTGAGTTTGATAAAGACCACCTCCTCTACTTTGATTTCCCAAATATTGTAATATTGATAGGCACAGTATTGTTGGAAAACTTTTCACCTTGCTCCTGCCTCTTGAATAGTTTAGAGTATCTTGAACAACACAGACTCATGTGGAGCTTCACTGGTACCCTCCTTTCTTATGAGAACAACCATGTCTGCAGTTTTCTGTATTTTAACTGATTTATTGATGCAAGGGTCTTTTTCCTTCTGCTGTGACTGCAAGAAAGCCTTTGAGGAGACTTCCAGCACTGGAAGTCCAAGTGTACCGTGATAGTGACTGAATGGCTTTAAACTGACAGGGGGTAGATTCAGATTAGATATTAGGAAGGAGTTCTTCACTATGAGGGTAGTGAGACACTGGCACAGACTGGCCAGAGAAGCTGCGGCTGCCCCATCCCTGGCAGTGTTCAAGGCCAGGTTGGACAGGGCTTGTAACAACCTGATTTAGCATAAGGTGTCTCTGCCCATGGCAGGGAGGTTGGAACTAGATGATCATTAAGGTCCCTTCCAACCCAAACTCTTTTGTGATTCTATGATTTTAAAAAGATCAGAATCTGTGCAGTGGCCAAGAGGGATGGTCCCAGCATGAGTTCTTGCTCCTTTTTTTTGTGTTGGTATTGGTTCTTTAGAACTGTGGGATCAGTTACATAGGCTGATGGTTAATTAAAACTTAAAATAAATCTTTTCAGCTGGATTAGCAGTTTGCCCTGCACCTCCTGCTTGTCACTGCGGTTCATCTGGGAAGTAGCAGTTCCTGTAGAAAAGCAGGACTATTCCCTTGACAGAAAAGCGACCTAGGCAGTGGAACTGTAGTGTTAAAGGTGATTATTAGATGTGGGCATGTGCATAGTAATCCTTCCACTGGAACTTTTGAGTCTCTAGTTAGTTTACCTTATTATCTGTATTTATGAGGGTTCTTAAATTTTTATCACTTGAGAGGAAAGTATAATTATGTAGCATCATAGATGTCACTGTGATGATTTAGTACCCACTGTTAAGGGGTGTGCAGGGGGAGATGTAAGAAGGAATGTAAGAAGGAAATGTGAGGATACATTGTGTTCATGTCTTTGTATTTGATTCTGGAGTGTTTTGACAAAGTGAGGCTTTCATTGTTACATTCTGGTTTAAATGTTATCGTGAGGGACTGAGTTAAATTACTTTTTTTATATATATTTTTTTTTCCTCTGGTCTGCAGGAAGCTGAAGGTTGTTAGCAAAGCACAAAGTGAAAGTGTTTGTATACTTGCAGTATCTTACTGTGTCAGTCTGTGTGGATCATGCTATTTAAAAAACAGTGCATACTGAATATGGATATGAAAATGGACAAGTTTGTCCATTTAGACCTGCTCGGTGAGACCTGCTGGCTACAAAAATGATGCACAATCTTCTTATGCATGTGGTAAAAAAAATTCTTGGATTTTGCATAGTACTTTACCTATGCATGCACATGTGGTTTTCTCAGTTTCCATTAATGTATATTAAGGTTATACTTGTCTGTCTTCTCAAGTCCTCTGTATAGTTCCAAATGTGAGATGTCTGAGTATACCCATACCTGTGGCTCCCTGGTTAAATTTATTGCTCTTTGTTGTTGTCATTGGTGAATGTTTTACTCTTGAATTGGAAATCGATTTGGGAGGTTTGGTTTTGTTTTTTTTTTTTCCTACGCTGTGTCAGAGTTCTGTATGACTCCTGTGTTATCCTACTTAAATATTCCATGTTAATGTATTATGAGAGGCTTTTGCATTTTGTATTTTATTAAGGATGGAAATAATGGAATAAATGCCTGACAATGTGCAGAGTTAATTTGAGTTATGATGGGGAGAGAGCCCACAGGGTATTGAACCAGGAAGATCGGTGTGTGAGCCAGGAAAGGCATCTTAAGCAGAAGCTCCAGGCAGTGGTGTGTGAGCCAGGAAAGGCATCTTAAGCAGAAGCTCCAGGCAGTGGTGTGTTAATGGAGTGTGAAAGCTTGATGGCAAGACAGAGGAAGAAGATGAGAAAAATCTTAGTTATATTGCCATGCTCTGGTTTTCCTCATTGTATTGCTGCCTTATTTAGTGTGTAGGAAGAACCGTGCTTTGAGGAATGAGTAAGATAGTGTGTAATGAAGGCTGTTCATTGAGGAGGATTGCTCCTTGAGCTGTTGCAAGATTTAGAAGACGTATAGCAAATGAAACCTGAGATGCCTTCACAGCCAAGACACATAAATGACTGTGGAGAATTAGATTTTGTCCTTTCTGGTGTCACAAGAAGATGCCAGGCAGACCATGTTAATCAGAAAGGTTTGCATGTATTGTTGTGTTCAGGTTTTTTGGTACCTGATTTGAAATGATATTAATGGGATTTGCAGCTGTGATTAAAACTCTCATGCCACAGTGACTGTGAAATCAGTGAGTTTTGCTGAATGGAAGGTGCTATCAATTGTGATGGTTATATTGAAGAAAAGTGAAGCTTCTTATTACCTGAAGATAGATATTAAAACTAGCTGTAGAAATAGAAAATGAGTTTATTTCTCTGGCTTATTTCCTAAAATAGTCTCTCAGTCCATCACTGACACAGAACTGGAAGATGAACTGAAAAGAACAGAGGTACTTACTGGAGTTTAAGGATGTGCTTTGTTTGTTGTGTTCTCAAAAGCAAAATCTGGCTGATTTACACCTAATTCCTCTTGTACATTAATTTAAATGCTCCACTTGTTTGCAGTATTCAGTTTCTGCTGGAAGCCTGCTTTTTCTTTTTACGTACTTTATTTTTGCTTAAAGAGCGCTGGTCATAGATGCTACGTGGTTTGGGATAGGTTTACTTTGTAAGCGAACAGTTACTCTTAAAATTAATTTGTCACTGGTTGTAGCACAGTGTTCCATTCTTAGAGTTGTGAAGGTTGCAGAAATTGCCAGTATCAATAGTGCTGGTAAGATTAAGTTTGCTTACTGTGCCCAGTTAGTCCTTTGGTTTGACTTGTGATCTTGAATTCTGTGACAAGGGAGAGAGATATACTCTATTCTTTTAAAGTGTATGCTGTGAACAGTCTGTGACACACACTTACGAAAAAGTTTTCTATCTGTGGGATCTCAAATAGGGGACATGTAGTTACATTTGTAGTGGGGAATAGTTTACATGTAACACCTTTAGCACTTCTTAAATATTTTGACTTGCTTAAAATATCTGAGTCCTAAGTTTGGAGTAAAACTAACACTGATGCCACTCATGACAGCTTCAGCAGAGGCCTCCAAATGACAACAGCAGCTGCTGAGTGGAGAGCACCACTGAGATTTTTAGAAGAAACAAAAGCACCTAAATCTGATTATGACATTCACTGTAATGCATGCTTCATGGGAATGTATGGATTGAAATTTCATACACCTGTCTTCTTTGGGAAGCCTTTTATGGGGATACTCAGTTCACATACGATAGTTAATTAGCAAAAAAGTTACAGACATCACAGAAGTGTTTTACTCTATGGGCATGATAACGTAAGCCATCAGTGTTTTTTTGATGTGAGTATAGCATATAGCTTATTTAATGACAAGGAATTTGTTATTCTTAGGTGTTGTGATGCTCTGAGGCTTCCCATCATGATGGTGGTAAAAAATTTCTGAGATGCCAGAGTGATTTGGAGGCAGTGACGCGTTTATTTGTAGCCCAGTGAACTGTGTCTATTACTTTTTAACATACCTTTGTAAGAAAATCTGCTTTTGGATAAGAGTAGAGGAGTATGAGCAGTCGATTTGTAACCACTGTGTTCTGTTGCAAAATGGGCAACACTAAAATATTTTGCAAGGTGTCACTATGGCATCTGTCCACAAGTTACAGCTGTTGTGACCCTTTCTCACTTTAAAATGCATGTGTTTAAGTTTGGTCTGTTGTTTTGTTTTTTCTTGGAATTGTGAACAGGTCTTAGGAAGCATTATGACTTTCAAGGCAGGTTTCCTTGATGTATCAGCAAAGTCATATTTCAGTTAGGTCAAGAAATGAGCTGTCAGAGTGCTTTGGCTGCTGCTGAGCAATAACAGATACAGGAAAAAAAGAAGTTCTGTAAAACTTGAATTAGGTGAAGAAAGAGGTCTTGCTGAGGAAAGCAGATGCTTTTCTGTTTGAGGCCGATTACAGTCTTATCTTTTTTGTGTACTTGAAGTGGAGTGGGCTCATGAAGGGTTAGCCAGTAGAGGCTCTTGATGCCATTCGGAAAGAAGAGGTTCATTCAAAGCAGGAAACTTACATATAAGTGCATTGAAACTCTCTAAATATGCTTATCGCTCCCTATCAGCTGTAAAGGAAGTATAGAGAGATTAGCTTTCCTAGACTACAGTTACTCTTTGTGAATATTGCTGTAAGTGTTAAGATACTTATCTCAAAAGCATAATTTTGCTATACACTCATCTTGAAGTAAATTATCTGCTACTTTGCATTTTTATGAGAACAATCCTTAAAAAACATCCCTGCATTCTCAAAACTTCCAGCACGCGTTTTTTCAAGTCAAGATCATTGTTCATCAAGTTGATAAATGTTCTATGAATGTGTCAAATTACTGTTTATGGAACAGCAGGAACTAAAGATTTAATCAGAGTAGGATGAAGATTTGCTTTTGTCACTGGGCATGTTGGATCTTTCAGTTCATTCTGAAGTCTGTTTCTCAATGTACTTTGAGAGATGAGCTGCCTTTTTGGTGCTAGAACTGACAGTACTGCTTTAAAGGTTTTGTCCTTCTTGTAATGGGGAGGGCACTATCCATAATTAAAAGTTGTATTTTATGCAAGTCTGTGTTTCTTTTTTTTTTTTTTTGTCCTTTTTTTATTAAACTCTAGCAGGAGAACAGCTGGTAACCATTCTTTTTAAAAAATAAGCAAGTACCAAATTGTATCTGTAGCTGTACAGATGAGGTAAGTCTGCATGGTCTTGTATGCTAACTTAGGCATAAATTCACTTTTTTTTTCTTGCCAGGAGGATTTTGAAAGTCTTCAGTTTAAGAAATTTCAAGTCTGCACATTGTAGAGATACCTGATACATCTGTAACAACAGTAAAGGTATTGAGGCTTCAGCCATCCCACACTTGTTGTCTGCAGTCTGTCTGATATTCTGCACTGAACAGTGTATGTGTAGGTTGTGTACAGAAGCGAGATGGCTTCTGCATACGCTGCATTTTTATACAGGTGAGGATTGCATTATCCATCTAATTTTTTATTGCACTTGTGTTAGATGGTACGTTAGATATGTTGTGATTTAATAATTCTTCTGAACTGTCTTCTGGTAGGACTGTCATATCTTGCAGCAGCCACTTTTTCTTCTAATTTCCTTAATGATTGTCTTTATGTCAAAGTGCATTTAATGCAAAACCATTATTAAATAAACATAATAAACAACAATATTTAGGCTTATATAAAATATATCTTCTGATTATGGGTGTTGCCCTCCCAGCTGCAGGGAGGATAAAAGTTCAAAAAGCAGTTCTGTCGGTTTTAGCACCATAAATGCAACTCATGTCCTTTTTTAAAAAAATAAACGCAATAACAATTAAAATTTAATTGTGGAATATCACAAATTATTATATGTATTAAAAATATTAACCGTGTATATATATACAAAATGTATAAATACATTTTGTTGGACTTTTAAATATGATTCAGGTTATTTGCTTAAGATGTAATTTGTATATTTTATTGTGTCTACTTGATCATTGCTGGTTGAAGGGGGTTGCGCTAGGAATTGTGATCATTAATGTTTTCTGCTAAATAGGAATATGGATCTCAAAATGTTTTATTTTAGTCCATCAACAGAGTTTCTTATTAGTTGAGACTTTAAAGCAAATAATAAAAATTTCATGTGATGTTTAGCCAGATATGTTGGAAAAACCTAAGTAGGGTAGTCGCTGTAATTAGTTCTGTTAACTGTAATCATTTCAAGAAGCCGTATTTTGCTTGGCAGTAATAGTAATCCTTGAAATCAAGGCATTTACTGTGGTTTTGCTTTTAATTCTGAGGTGGAAGCCAAGCTAATGATTGTATTCTTTTACTCTCAACTGATGTGAAGATAAATAATGGCAGCTCTTAGACCCTTTCTCTTAGCCTTTTCAGTTATTTATACAATATTTAGAATCCACTGGAATCTTCTTGTTTTCCAGGTATTTCCAAATATTTTCTAGAATGGTCCAGGAAACTGAACCACTAATCTTGTGAAGAGGTGTTGTTAGACTCCTACATGTCCCTGGATCTTTAATTAAAAGTATTTGATCTGAAGTATATTATAGCTAGTGCATTGTATCTGTTGCTGTTGTAGATGGTGAAATTTCTATTCCAGTACCACTGTGCTGTGGTTTGGATATATACTGTTGATTTTTTTTTTTATTTTTACTTTTTTTTTCCCCCCAAAACCAGAAAACAACTGGATGCTGGCTATTTGTTCCTGTTTTTTATCACCACTAGCTATTTCATCCTCTAAATTCAGTAAAACACGTGTACCTGAGTGGTTCCCTATTCGCTTAATACATTTTTATTAAATTAAAAAAGAAAGTTTGTTAACTTTGGGTGGATTGGGTGCTATTAATTTATGAAGCACTTTATGCTGATCTAGGTAGTTGGCTCATGGTGCTATATGCTTAAGGTTGTTTGATCTCTGTAAAATAGGTTAAAATAGCTCAGTCTTCTGCAGAACTGGTTTAATTACAAGAGAGAGAAATTCAGGGCCAAATTTAGAAGTATACTGACTAAGCTACATACAGTCAGACAATCAAAAAAAGACTTAATATATTTTTGAAAAATAAACCCAAGTCCTTTGCAGGAAATAAACCAGAAATGCCTTTTTTGCAAAGGAGTATTTGATATGTTTATGGTACTTACTCTGTCAAACAGTCATCCTAGTGGTAGAAGAATTTAGTTCAGCTGCTCAGGATAGAATTGTTGAATGATGGCAACTATGGAAGAGCAAGCTGTAAAGGGGAAAAATAGAGGGGAATACAGTTTCTCATGCTGTCTTGGGTCCAGGACAGGTAGTCACACCTGAATTGCTGCCTTGTGAGAAATGCTGGTCTGGATTGTGTCTCTTCCTTGCTCTGTGGCATCAGCTGGGAGAGCTTGGTGGGTTCTCCTGTTTCGTCACTCCTTCCTAGTACAGCAGAATTAGGTGAACTTTCTCAGTGTATCCTGGCTTGTGTAATTAATCTCACTATCAGGATTAATTAAGAGGAGAAGAAAGTGCTTCAGAATATGAGGGGCACATGACAGAGGAAGACCTAAGGAGGAGAATATTACTGCTCTCTGGCTCACAACCTTTATGGCATGCTGCTGATATGCGAGATAACTCCCTGCCAGCTTTTGGACCTTAAGATTCCTTGAGGTGTGCAGAGAAGGCTGGAAGCTTAACAGCTTTTTTCCTAAGCAACTTTCATCTGTTAATTCCCCTGTGATATGTTTTCATTTTAAAAGATCCCATGGTACTGTGACAGGAATGTTTCTGTTATCGTATTAATCAGTTAATTTCTAATGTTCCAAATTTGACATACAGACTCCCTTGTTTTGTTTTGTCTTACAGATCTTACCTTCATATATCAATGCGTCATTGGCTTTTGGTTTGCATTGATTTAATCTTTCTTTCCCTTTTCTGCTTTCCCTGTGAACACCTTTTCTTATGTATATTTACAATAAGTTAAAGATCTGAATTTTTCTAAAACTGAATTAATATCTGATGGGTTATTGTTAGACTCCAGTTATTGCAGACCTTTCTGTTATCTGCTTAAATATTTTTGTTACTGCTTTTTGCTTCTCTTTTTTTCTCTCCTTAATGATTTTGCATTGTTGCCACTGCTTTCATAGTCTTTGAAAAGGGTGGTTTTTTTGTCCAGTGTGCATTTGTGTGTATGTCCAGATAAAATCCTCTCTCTTACTCTTGTTTTATAGAGTTACCTGCTTTTAGGTATCCACTAATGTCTTGTAACAAGAATGAATTTTCTTCTATGCTTGCCATGCTATGTAAGTTGCTGTCATTTATGCCAACATTTGCTTTGAGCTATGAAAAGGTCTGCTGTAGAAATTCAGATTTAGGTATTATTATTTGCAAGTAAATATAGTGTCTTGTTCACAGGCACTATTTTTATTTGATTTTTTTTTTAATTTAAAAATCAGAGTGAGCAGTGCTGCACATTATTTTGGTTAAAGGTTAAGTAGGTATATTTGATTAGGTGATCACTTGAGGTTTTGTTATCCTTGCTTACTGTGATTTGTAAGAGGTTGGTTCTTTACAAGTAACACTTTAGAGGTAAAACCATTTTTCCTGGCTCATTCTTCTTGTTATGAAATAAATTTTTATAGTCTTACTTTATATTTTAGCCATTCTGCAGTCTGAAAAATTCTCTGTGAAAACTCACTCTTAATATTTACTTGGCTCTTTGTATCATCTACTTTTTTATAGATAGACATGTCTGAATAGCAATGCTAGCAAATTTTATTTTGGTTCCTGTCATTTTGGTTTAACTTGCTTATGCCTAATATAGCATAATCTCCAATTTAATCTTCACCTGTGGCTGGAATAATTATAGTGCATCTTTCTTCTTTTGAGTTCACATTGTGTCATTTTGCTCTGGTGCAAGAATGGGGAACTATGTATACTTGGACTGATCTACTTTAGTGAAGATTTGTAGGGAATTGATATCCTTGAGATTCCTGCTCTGCTATTGTAACAGGTTTGGACTCCAAGGGTATAAGGCACCTTTCTATAATGATAAAGTGTTACTGTAGAAGTCTGAGTTCCCTACAAAATCAGGCTAAATTAGATTGCTTGCTTCACTATATTTTTTTTCTCAGTTTTTAACATAGCATAGCCTTATGTTCTTAAGTTCTTTTAGATACTACCTTTACTGTTCTCATATGATTAGTTAATGGCTCTTATTGTAGCCATAGCTAAATTTACTCTTTAGAAATTGCACTTATGTTATGAAATTGGATGCCATAGAGACCATTTAATTTCTGCACACTGTATGGCTCCATATTCACGGAACTAAAACACCCTTTCTAGCTTACTTAATAAATACTCATCTCATAGAGTATCTGCTTGCTACCTTCCTCTGCTGTGTGAGGGTAAAGCTTTCTTATTTTATTTTTTCGTTTGTTTCTAGCCTACAAATTTTCTGAATGTGACCAAGCCAGTCATGAGAGATGATAGAACATTTATGCTGGTGTTGTGTGCTTTAATCTATCAGTTACCAAGAGGCAGCTTAACCCTGTTGTGTTTATTACAGGGAAAGTTGTATACATATGGACAATCAGCACAGAGTGTCTGAACAATTGGATTATCATCTGCATGACTTAATTACCTTCAGGCTTTTTTTCATTTGCCATGAGATAGCTAAAAACAATTTCCAAGAATCACCTGGATGTTTTCTTCCATCAGCAGCTTTCACACATTCTGAAAGACTTCCAGGCTCTGTGGAAGGTGGCTGATGGGAAGTGAATCATGAATATAAATCAACATCTCTCCACCCTTATATCCAAAATGCTGTTGCTAGGATATTCTTCTTTGTTTGCTACTCTTATCACATCATCACCTTTTTGAAATTCACTCTCTGTCATCCTTTCTTTAATTACATTCAAATTCAAGCTGCTTGCATCTCTGCGAGACCTAGACATAATCTTATTCTACCTTTGCATCTGCTCTCATATTTTGCTGCCTTTTCTTCTCCAGAGTCTTTCTCTGAGTTCCAGTTTTCTGTTTTGCTTTCTTTTTGTTCTAGATTGTCATCTACTTTGCTGTGTGTTTTGCTAATGCTCCTTTGTAACCATAGCTTAGGGTATGCTTTTTTCCCTTTCTACTGAATGAATATTTTTTTGTTTAAAGAAAAAAAATATTTTTGGCAGCTTCCTTTTTTAGCTTTCTCCCCACCACCACCCTGTTGTTACAGTCCATTGCAAAAATGAGCAGTTAAAACCAGAATCATTTTAATGTTATTAGCTTGTTTTTGGAGTCGCTCTAAATGCTAACAAAAAGTTTGCTAAGAAGTTTAGTTGGTGATTAATTATATTTTTTTTTGATAGAAAGAATTTTGATCAAAAGGGATGATAAAGTGAGAAGTCCCTGAGGTACACAGAGAAATGTAATTGCAGTTTTTCTAGTTTTTTGCTCTCTTTTTTTTTTAATTATTATAAGAAGGAAGTAGAAGGGATAAGAGATAGATGCTCACTCATTAGTTTATGTTCTTCTAATGAGAGATGCCACAGATGAAGTTTAACCATGCCAAGTGCAAGGTCCTACACCTGGGTTGGAGCAATCCCAGGCACAGCTACAGGTTGGGCAAAGATGAGATTCAGAGCAGCCCTGTGGAGAAGGACTTGGGGGTGCTGGTCGATGAGAAAATGAACATGAGCCAGCTTCAGTGTGCGCTTGCAGCCCAGAAAGCCAACCATATCCTGGGCTGCATCAAAAGAAGTGTGACCAGCAGGTCAAAGGAGGTGATCCTGGCCCTCTACTCTGCTCTTGTGAGACCTCACTTGGAGTATTGTGTGCAGTTCTGGTGTCCTCAACATAAAAAGGACATGGAACTGTTGGAACAAGTCCAGAGGAGGGCCATGAGTATGATCAGGGGACTGGAGCACCTCCCGTATGAAGACAGGCTGAGGAAGTTGGGGCTGTTCAGCCTGGAGAAGAGAAGGCTGTGTGGAGACCTCATAGCAGCCTTCCAGTATCTGAAGGGGGACTATAGGAATGCTGGGGAGGGACTCTTCATTAGAGACTGTAGTGATAGGACAAGGGGTAACGGGTTAAAACTTAAACAGGGCAAGTTTAGACTGGATATAAGAAGGAAATTATTTCCTGTTAGGGTGGTGAGGCACTGGAATGGGTTGCCCAGGGAGACTGTGAATGCTCCATCCCTGGCAGTGTTCAAGACCAGGTTGGACGAGGCCTTGGGTGATACTGTTTAGTGTGAGGTGTCCCTGCCCATGGCAGGGGGCTGGAACTAGATGATCTTAAGGTCCTTTCCAACCCTAACTATTCTGTGATTCCAAGAATGAATTCTTTTAGCTGGAGGAACTTGCAGAAGATTTTTCCTAAGATGTCTGGGTGAGATGGTTTAGTGTGAGGTGTCCCTGCCCATGGTAGGGCGGTTTTAACTAGATGATCTTAAGGTCCTTTCCAGCCTTAACTATTCTATGATTCTATGTTTCTTCTTCAACTTGCCTGCCCTTTATGACCCCTGTAGCTCAAATATCTTGAGCTTCCACATATGGTTATTTCAGCTAGGTTAAGGAAGAACATTTAGGGTATTTTTGTTTGGAGATACAACTTCTTTTAACTTTCTTCAAGTGTGGCGGAAGTTTTAAAATGTCTTACAGGATTTATGTATTTCTCTGAAATGCTTACAAGGAAGTGTTACAGAGTAATTAATCCAAAGCCATGAAACACATTTTATGATTAATGTAGTAACACAGCTCATTAAATCATGCATTTTATAAAATTGCACTATCTCACATTCTAAGACAGTTGGATCCAGCACAGAATTAAATACGTGTTTTATAGGGACTTTAGTGAATAATTCTGTGGAAGATTCTCCAAGAGTACTGCTGATACAAAAAACATGGCAAAGGAAATAACTGAACATCTGTTCTGGTTTACCTTTTTGACTCCTGGGGATGAAAAAGATGCAACGAATCAGATGTGGGGAAAAACATTAGTGGTATTTAAGACTTTAAAGGTAATCCCAGTTTGCAAAGTAAGTCAGATTTCCTGGAATCTTGTGTACCATAGCAGCTTGCTTTTTTGTTGTGTTTTGTTTTTGTTGGTTTTGTTTGTTTGCTTGTTTGTTGTTGTTTTTATTTTTTTAATTGACATTTCTGCCTCCTGCTGTGGTGGCACCACGAAGCTGGGGATCATGTTAGCAGCAAAAGTTGGGGTTGTGTCTTGAGACTGTGGGCAGCTCAGGCCAGATGTACTAAACTCACTCTTGCAGGCTTCAATACTTTACAAAGTATTAGAGGGGAGTTTCTTTCCCACAACACTTGGAAGCTATTTCAGGTACTGTTTTGAGGTGCTTGATGTACTTGGGAGTATGTAACTCGGAATATGCTTGAATCATATTTTCAGCTTTTAGTTCTAATGTGCTCTCTTGCATGCACTCTCAGCTGAACTGATTTCTGATTGTAGAGTGGGACCTCTGAATCTTCTTTGAAAGCCTGATCTCTACTTGGGAGCTTGAAATACTCAATAGTAGATGAGTCCTCTGATATGTAGCTAAAAAGCAGTATATAGGAAAGACTTTTTTTTATGCCTCTGAAGTCCAAATTTCTTTCTGAAAAATATGCCAGAAGTACTTTAAAGCTTTCTAGTTCCACTGATGAAATAAATATTGCTTGAAAAGGCTGTTTTCATGAAATCACTATGTAAGAGAGATGGTGCCAGAAACTCTTAGATGCCTAAATGAAGATCCTCAGAAATCCTTTGGAAAATTGTAACTAATTTGTTATTAGCTAGAAAATTAGCAGAATATTAAAGCAAGTAAGCCTGACTGAATGGTGCTGAAAAAGCTGCCTGCCTCCCCTCTGTTCTCAGCATGTGCTCCCAAAGGTGGTCCTGTGTTGGTGTCATGGGTCATATGACACTGGCAAGGAACTAAACCATGAGAAAACACACAAAAAAGGGTCATTCTGTTGGTTTAGCTTTTTGAATGAACTTGCAGGGAAATCATCTGTGTTATCAGAGCAGGGTAGATTTTTCTTCTCTGAGTCAGAAGGATGAATAGTCCACTGCAGCCGAGAAGAGGGAGAGGGGAATAGACTCTCCCTACTTGGTCACAGTGACTGCTTAAAAAATTGAAGAGTTACCTTCCATGATCTTGGATTAAAAATTCTGATTCTTCCTTTGGTAGTCAGGATTACAACAAACCTCATTGTTTATTTAGGGATATGTGTTTAGTTTTCTGCTCTTAAGCACCGTAATAGAATCTCATTGAAAGATTATTTTAATTGGCCCTTAATTATTGTGTTGTTGTTTTTTTTTTAATTGGCTGGTGTTCAAGATATTGTGACAGACAGGGTTTGTTCATAAATGTGTTCCCTGTGTTTCTGATTTTCTGGATAACTTCTATATTGTATACAAAAAGTTAATACCCTCTATATTCCAGAGGTATTTGCTTTCAGGGGTGTTGGGGTATCTGTGTAATGCTCTTGCATTATCATTATAAAAACCTTACCAATTAAAGTTTTCTAGTTTATATAATCAGTAGGTATTGATGATTCTTGATTTGTACTGTGAGTTTCATATATATAAATAAATACATATGAAATATATGTAGTTCTAAACACAGAACTTTGTATACCAGATACAGGAACCTGTAGAAAAGGAATTGGTTCTTTATAATCTGGACTAGTGAGTAACCCATGTAGCACTGTTATGGCTAATTAAGCTATTAATCATCATTTGGAGGTTCATCTTGAGTCTAGAAGAATGTTTAGTTTGGGCTTTGTGTCTTCTGAAAGCCTGTATATGTTGCTGATAGCCCAGTGAGGCTTTGGGGACAATATCTGTTTTCTCTGTATGTCTTATCCACATATGCAATCTTATTTGTAGTTTATACATGTTAAACAAATTCAGCTAGCACAACTTAATTCACAACAATATGCATATTTGATATCTGGGATATTAAAAAACCTTACTGTAAGCAATGAAGAGTTGACTGTTTTACATTGCTTTGACAACTTCAATAACTGTGTGTTTGATTTTTACATTTTAGGAAATAGAATAATGCTAATGAAGCAACAGTTTCCCTGAAGTTCAAGTTTTCAGACTCACTGCCATTATGGGTATGTCTTGTTGTCATGTGTAGGAAAAATTTAATTTGGACACTTTTGATTTCTGTTGAAGACCAGAACCATTAATACCATTCCTAGGAAATAAGTGCTTTTGCTGTGAAACCCAATGCAATGTGTATGGGAAAGGCAGTGTTCAACCTTTCATAATACTTCTGTGTTTTTTCTATTGGAATATAGCACTTTTCCCTCACTATGTGGTAACTTAAAAATTCAGGTAAAATAAGATTCATGGTATTAGGGTACTGGGCAATATCTACTGTGCTCTTAAAAGGTAATGGTTATTTGGAACAAACACCACCACCACCACCCCACCACCCCCAAATTCTATATTAAGAATCTTATTGTGTTGCCTTGTGTCATTGCAGTATAAAGGCAGGACTGTGTAGATGGTCTGTGCTTTTCTAAATATGTAGCATATTCATATTACTTCAAATTTGGTATTAATTTTTCAAGTTGTGCATGCTTTCTAGTGAGTTGACGGTGTTGTTATTATAATCTAACAAACCAACCAAAACATGGTTACTGGTATTGCCTTTGTTTACCTGTTATTGTTACACTAATTTGTCTTAACCTCATGCTTAAAAATCAAGTAGCTGAATCTAGGAATACATCACTCTTTAGATTTCTGATATTCTCCAAAATTTTGTAGGAGAGAAATGGCTACTGGGTCACACTGGATATCCAGCAATCTTTAGATACTTTGCCACGGTTCTTTGATTCTCTTTGTATGAAATATGCTACTGAGCGACCACTGGAAATTCAGTCTCCTCCAACCAACTGCTGGAATAACAGCACTAGAATAGGCTGTAACACCATAAAATAGTTTAACTTTTAATTGTGGCAAGATTTGAATATATTTCAGTGTAAAAAAAGGAATAACTGAGTTGCAAGAATGCCTTCAGTTCTGCTATTAAATATTGCTAATTAGACTTGCTTTAATAGATTTCACATCTTAGTAGTTATGAGTAAAGACAGCATGAGTGATGATTGAAGTTAATAATTTTCAGACCAGCTTTCTGATCTGTTAGGAAACTATTAAACTAGATGCTGGAACTGCACAATTTCCTGATATAAAAGAAATATTTGGTTATATTTGAATAGTGTGTGAAGGAGTTCTCATCACTGGTGAATACCTGAAATATTTGCTTGCTGAGTTTTATTCAAGACCACGTTTGAGAAATACTGTTTTTTGTAAATCACGGTGCTTAGGAATTCTTTAACAAACACATCCTTTGGGAAGTAGTGTGAAGGCATACAATCAACACCTTTTGTCGATAAATTTTGTTATCCAGAGTTCTAGATGCATGTTGAGTATGGTAGCTTTGCTGTGGCAAGGAATTAATATAAAGTATTAGTGACAGATTTCTCTTAATGATGGATGTACAGGATTTTGAACTTCTAAGTGCTTTCCTAAAGGAGCATCCCATATCCAGGGCAAACCATGTCTAGCATGGCCTCAGTCCATCTCAGATGCAGCAGATTTTAATGGTGGGCAGATGGATGAACAGAGGCATTCCTGTGTGTCTTTGCTTTACTGTAGTTTTAATTGCTTTTCAAAAGTGAGGGCATTTTTTGTTTGAATTTTATAGTAAATCAGGTCTTTTGTAGACTAATTAAGCATGCTTTTCAAACACCATCTTCATGATACCTTGTGTGACCAAACACACTGTGGAGATCAAGTCCTAGGAAGCTCCGGAGGACATACAGCTGCAACCCTGCTAAAAGCAGCATACATGATAGAGGACTGAAACTTTCTGGGGTTGTTGTGTGGCAGGATTTGTAGTAGTAACTTTTGCAAAGTCTGGGAAAGTTGTTGGCTGGATTCTTGCACATTTAGTTGCGTTTTGTTTTTTTTTTCACCAGATGTTCCGAGTATAATGTTGCTGAGGGTCTCTAGAAATTTATGCATTATATATTGAATAAAGGTGATGTTTGGAGAGAGCTATTCCACAGGTTGGAATGGTGTCTCTGTATTGTTTAAGAAGTGCCTTATGTTCAGTATGGCCCCTAAGTATGAGAGCAGCACTGGGTAAAACAGGTTTTTCTCTCGTAGAGGCTAGCTATTCCTGCAAGGAGCAGGGAGTTGGACTCTGACCCTTATGGGTCCCTTCCAGGTTGAGATATTCTATGATTATATGATTTATGATTTTGTGTGAACTTGATATCTAAGCTGTATAGCACTGGGTTCAGTGCTCCTGTTTTTCCTAGCCCACCAAAAAAGGCCTATATTTGCAGTCCTAGAGAAGTTTTGGGTTTTTGTTTTATTTGATTGGTTGGTTTGGTTTTGTTTTTTTTTCTGGGGTCGGGTTTTTTGTCCCCCTTTTTTCCTTTTTTTTTTTTTTTTTGTAATTCATGAACTGTCAGCACATGCACAGATGAGGAGCTCTTCTGGGAGTTTGTATATAGTTCCTACATGCATGACAGTACCAGTTCAGTAAAGAACAAAACGATTCAAAAGTACGTGCTTTTATTTTATGAATGGGGGATGGCAGGTCATGATTTCTAGTTACATCTGATCCATGGACATCGAAACAAAGGAGATAAAACTTTTTTTTTTGTTGTTGTTGTCTTGCCTGCCCTTCTCTTACAAATGTTGCCTGAAGTTTTGCAGTTAGCAATCTGTTCTGACTTCAGTTTTTTAAACCTGCCATGTAAGTCTGTTTACTAATTGAGCTGCTTACTTCCTTAAGCATTGTTAATGATAAATAAAATTAAAATGTTTGCAACATGGCAGTATATTTTTTTAAATTTGGCAATTATGTATTAAAGTGTAATATAGTCTTCTAGATTTTAGTGTAATGTTTGCCTAATTGTGAGATGAGACAGTAACGCACTTCAGATTTAACAGCCATTTACACTTCTCTTACCTGGTCTCTTTCTCTGAGCAGATGAGCAGCAAGCTTTGAATTCAATCATGCAGGATTTGGCTGTGCTTCATAAGGCCAGTCGTCCTGTATTGCCCCAGCAAGAAACAGGAAAACCAAAGTCATCTTCACCTAAAAAACAGGTAATCTTCAATACCTTTACTAACCTATTGAACATGGAATGTCCTGCTTTGACTTCCATAATTATTTTTCTTGTCCGACCAGTGAGCGTACCAGAATGAGCTATTAGTCTCTGACATGTACTGCCATTTTCTTTGTTCTGGTTTTTAAATTAGCAGCAAAATGAAATGGTGGCATTTCAGACCAGATGATAGCGTTTGCCTAAATTAATTTGATCCTGATAAATTGAAGATTATAGGAGTATTTTGACGTTATTGACATTAGATTGCTTATTTTTCGTTGTTTTTTGATAGGTATTGGAATGTTTAAAAGGTCAAGGTGTTCTAGTATCTCTTATTTGGAATGCATTGTTAGAATGAATTTTATATATATATTAGATTGCCCAGTTGTCAGATTTTTCTTAAAAAAAGAATGTCAGTATAGCAGCAGAAACATACGTTCATTTACTGTATCTTTGGCCTTGATTTTTTTTTTTTGTTTGCTCATAAACTGAAAATGTGAGTTCTTTTCAGCTGTATTTGTTTTTCTGCAGATGCTGCGCGCAGATAGAAAAGTGGTAAATACTTAGCTGATATGTTTGAACTGTTATATAGAGAAATTAGGAGAGGATGTAGATTTTTTGACCCAAATTCTAATAGCCCTTTTGAGTTACCTGTATGTTTATTTGGTCATTTAATTGACAGGCCAATATTTCATGAAACTTCACTTTTTGCAGTCTTGTTTTAACCTGTTGAAGGCCAGAGCATTTGAATATATTTGGCTCTTAAACTGTCAAAAAACAATGGCTTTTTTTTTTTTTCATTCTGTGCTTTAAAAGCTGTATTAGTTCAGTATATAACACAATGGTGCTTTGCTCACGTCATCTAAATCACTTCTGAGCTGTGACTTTAAACAGTGTAGTGACGTGCATATTGATCCCACGTGATTTGAACGTAATACTTGTTTAGAAATTTAGAAGAAAAACAGTTGATCCGTTTCCGAGTTTAAATGTGGTAGTGGTAAGAGGGAGATACATGTTTGTCATTTAAATTTTTGAATTTGGAATGTAATCACTTGTGAATTGATTAATTCTTTTGGAACATGCAACATTGTTATTTGGATATAATCTCTGTGGTTCAGTGCTTTTTTGGTTGTGTTTTTTTTTTTCCTGCAATAGTGAATACAATTTGATTCTTAAAATTATGATTATTTTTTTTTTAACAATTTTATTTCCATGTAACTTCAGATATTTACAGGTATCTTTGTTACTGGGAGGTTGATTGCACGAATGCTGGCTTAATTACATGTGTGGGTTTCTATGGTAATGCTTATGAAACAAGATATGTTTCTCAAGCCTGGAAGGCTCAGCTCTGAAGCGTACATAAAAACCTGTTATGGTAGAACCTACCTGCCTGTTCATGATAGGTAATTCTTTGGTAATCAGTTCCATGCTGAATTTGAAATAATGAATCTGTTATATTGCTAAAATATATTGGTAGAAAATAGTGGTTTTACTTTCAGAAGAATTTGTTGTACTTCAGAACTTTTTTTCTTATGCACTTTAAGCCTCTATCAGAAAACCCTAGCAGAAGTAGCTTGTTAAAATGCTTGCTATATTGGAAAGGACAGAAAATTAATATGGGCTGCTTAAGGATTTTACTTGTGATGTAGGATTATTGAATGTGATTTCATGACCTTCACTAAAGGACGTAGTAACTAACTAGTAGTGGTTTCTTTGTCTCTTCTTACAGAATGATGTCAGAGTCAAATTTGAACATCGAGGTGAAAAAAGGTAAGGTGGTACCACAGGAAACAATCTTGCCTTTTAATTATTTATAGAATTTTGTTGTGTTCTTATAAAGTGTTAAATAAACTGTGCAAAGTGTTTCAGATCTCTTAGTGTATTTAATTTGAGCTTAAGTCTAATTTGGATATGAACACAATTTAAGGAGAATCTGTTTAAAATGTGGGCTCTAAGTGTACATAAATGCAGAAATGTCTTACTGTAGCTGTTGCATGTAATATCCTTTATTTTTTTACCCTTCAGATAGATGTTTGTAGCCTAGAACAATCACTTGGATCATTAGCATAGATTTCAAATAAGACTAGTCCAGCAAATAAATATTTTTGCTACATCATGTGCATAATAAATGCACAATAATATATTGTTACTGTAGCACCCAGGATAAGAAGCCTATATCTTAAAGCCCAGTATTGCATTGTACTTTGGAAAAAACAGTCTGAGAACTGTAATAGAAAAATCGATAGACTTCAGATTGTTTTCATTGATAATTTTGAACAATCAGCTTTTACTTTCATTTTGTGTATGGGAGGTGAATGATGTACATGCTTAAATTATACAAACATCCATATATATCTTTGCTGGCTGCTCAAAAGCTTTTCCAGAAGTTGATCTACAATTCTGTGCAAAGCTCATTTGTGGGCAACTCATTCTGTCTGTGTCTTTCTGAAAGCATAAAATCTTCTACCTACCTACAGAGAAGTGGTTATAGAATATGATCTTTGAAAACGTGTACTGAACAGGAAATAATATCCTGGTCATGCTGTTTTTCAATGGAAATGGTAAATTCCTTAGGATGGCTTCAGAATGCTATGCTGCTTCTGGGCAGTCCCTAGTTCAGTGTGCGAAAGATCATATGCTGATTATAGGACGTGCCCTGTCTTTACATGGGGTAGTAAAATAGCATTAAGTTCCCTAGGTATTAACATTCTTCAGCTTCTTTCTATCACTTTTGTGAACATAACATGTAACAGTGCATTGGTAATGGTTGAGTGCTATGAGTAATTTGGAGAAAATAAGTCTTTTCAAAAGCTTTGAAAATTGAGGACTCTTATCTAGTAATTCATGTGAAGTAAGTGGCAGCGTGAGTATAAACCAGAGGTGTTACTCATTGCCAGTCTGCACAGACAGTACATTCTTGCAGTTTGTTAATTCACTTTCACAGTGGACTAAATTAATCAGTTCAGTATGAATGCAAGTATAAAGTAAGTGTATAGGAAGATATCGTTCCCAAGCTTTTATCCTGATGGCCTAGCTCTGGTTTGGAGTGTCCCAAGTAATTTGAGCCTGGTTGCCCAGGGGCTTGTTGCTCAGCATGCTTTGTAGTACTCTGTTGCCTGAACATATAGATCTAAAGATAAAATAATGAAATTATGCAAGAAAAATAAGTTATGCAATGGCTTTCTCACTAGTTTTGAAAAGGGAAATGGAAGAGAGAAGTTATTCTAGAATTTGTTTCACTAGTGAACATGGCACTCTGTACCAAGGAGTGGGAAGTGTGATGGGCAGAGCTCCAGGCATGCTAAATAAATTAACTGCAGTGAGAACTGGTGTTTGTTTGGGGTTTAAGGTTTTTGTGGGGGGTTTTGGTATTTTGGTTTAGGTTTGTTTTTGCAGTTTTGGTTTTTGGTGGTTGGTTGTTTGTTTTTCTTGTTTTTTTTTCTTTTGGTGTGGGTTATTTGTTTTTTTTGTTGGTTTCTTTTTTCAAAATAATAATTTTGAAAAATAATAATTTTGAAAAATTATGATTTTGAAAAATAATAATAGGTTTTTTTAATTGCAAGTGGCCTGGCTTCTAGCTTTACTTCAGGGAGAAATACTGTTCCCTAACCAGTGTACTACCTGAAACACTGATGAAAGCTTTTCTGCTTCACAAAATTGGAGTGCTGTTTCTTTTTTGAATGTACCTCACTAGGTTAGTCACTTCTAAAAGTGTTTTTTCTTTAATGGTGGTGTGTCTCAAATAATACAATAGTTTTCTATAGTAAAGGCCAGTTACAGGCATTTTAGGTTATGTATTTTGTGAGACATTGAGTTATAAAAAAATCTGAATTGTTGACCTACAACTGCCCCATTCGTACAGAAACACACTTGAAGCACAGATGGTGGTGGACTCAGCAGTTCAAGCATGTAATTCATTATGGTGAAAATGGTGACATTCAGTTACCTTCCTCACATAAGATACTCTTTTGAATTTCCCAAAAATGGGGACCGTAGGAGTAATTATTTTCTGATACTTAGGCTTGCCAGTCTGTGGTACTCATTGTCTTAGTTTTCTGAAGTGTAAAAAGTTTTAGAGGTTTCTAAGAACTTGCCTCTGGAATGGAGGCAGGCAAAGCATTAGGTTAAGAAAGAAGCCATTTTCAAGCAAGTAAAATAGTCATAGTGAGATCTAATGTTATGTGTGATTACCCTTATAACTTTCTCACTGCTTTACTCTCCTTTTTAAAATAACTCAAAATACGGAGGTCAGTGAATAAAAGCATAGCCTCTTATGGTCTTCCCAGTAATAAATTCAATTTTGACCTCATTCTTGAGTAATGAGGTATCAGATTTTCATAAGTAACAGACAAAAATTCTTTACAACTTGAATTGTGTTTCAGGATCCTGCAATTACCACGGCCTGTTAAACTTGAAGATCTTGCAGCTAAAGCTAAAGTTGCCTTTGGACAGACTATGGATTTACATTACAGCAATAATGAGGTAATATTCTGTGTCTTGTAAGTTCTCAGCAGCTTGTACATTGATTATTTTAAGGCTGAAATTTCCTCACGTAAGCAGTGAGAACCACTCCCATGACAAAAAAACCCAGATTCCTAATGTGTGTATTCTCAAATATGTAAGGCTTGTCGAAATTGGGATGAACAGGAGATGCATGAAATGTTTTATGAGAAGAGTCATATCTTAGTGAATTACCTCTCAGACTTGATTGGGAATGGATAAATTGTCTTCCTGCTCTGCTACAGTCCTGTTTCATCACTTTGGAAAAGTCTTTATTGCTTTGAGCTTTGTCATGTTTGTAAACTTGAAATAACATTTATCCTTTCTTGTATAGTTTTGTGGGTTTTTTTTTTTCTTTAAGGTTTAATCTTGTTCAGTAATTGCTAGAATGCTGCATTTAGTAATGTATAGATTGGAGAACTAGGCTTAATTGTTGCTCCTCTTAAAGTAGCTGGTTCATAAATATTTCTTGGCAACAGTTCCAGTGCCATTAAGCCACTTATGCCTGATCAATATTGCTTCCAGCTTTCCTTTAGAAGTAGAGATGGAATCAGTAATGGGAAATACATTTGCAGATGCAGGATCCTTTCTTAGGAGTTACTTCTGGTTTTTGAATTGAGTCAGCAAAGTGCATGGAGGATTATGTGTGCTTGGTTATGCACAACATAATTGCTGCATCTGATCTGCATCTTTGCAGAAGAAAATGCCTGTAATTGCTGTTTGTTGGTTATTCAGTACCTTACCAGGCACTTCTGTGAAACTGATGCTCAAAATGAAGAATTCCAGCACAAGTCTTTTGGAGATTAGGTTGGTCAGAAGAAAAGTCCATTCATGATACTTTAACCTCGGCTCCTTCCTCTGATAGGTTTTGAGGCATTTAAGCAGGTTTTCTGCATGTCAACTTCTACACTAGTTGGCAAATAATCCTATAACCTTTCAGAAATGTGATGCTAATTACCTGTCATTAGCATTAAAACTGCAACTTAAAATGAAGAGTGTATGTATGTTATGAAGACCATCCCCCATTCCCATTTCTTTTTTGTATAAAAATACTGTATTTCAGTTGATGTTGTGTTTGAGCAACATTGAGACTATTACAAGTAGAATACATTTTTTAAAACTACATTGCCTTGTTCTTTTGTTCCAACAAGCAGAAATTATAACTTACGCTCCTGAAACATAAGCCAAATTTTAATTGTTACAGAACTCAAGTGTGCTTTAACAGCATAACATTTTCTGTTCTAAAGATACATGTGTGCCAAGTTAATTCTTATTAATTAGATTCAGGTAAGAGTTTTGTGAGGACTACAGTTGTTCCATGTGAATCACATCATGCCTGATAGAATTCCTTAAAAACTCTGTTTTTTCAATGGAGAAATTCTTAGTGATGCAACTTCAAACCTGTATACAAAAATGTACTTTATGCCCTGCAAAATAGGTCTTTCTTTATTTTAGACTTGCATTAATTTAGGCAATGGCAGATACATTGACACTGTTGCACATGTTTCTGTGAAAGTTGTAGGATATTAAGTTGTGCATATGTAAAATGGTTGTTCTTTCATTGTGAATGTTTGTTCCACCATGCTGTGCTATTGAAGGCATCAGAAGGAAGAGTTAAGGTTAAACTTCAGATATTTTGGTGCTAACTTGGGGCATCATTTAATACATTTTCCTTTCAAGTTCTCTTGAATGAAAGGAAAGGTAGAATCAGTTTATTAGTTTCTCTGCACTTCCTGATTTTTTTTTTTTCCTTGTATCCTTGTTTAAGATCTTGTCTTGTTTAAGACTTTTTTTTGTTTTTTTTTCCCATTTTTGTAGCTTGTAATTCCATTAACCACACAGGATGACCTGGACAAAGCTGTTGAACTGCTTGACCGTAGCGTTCATATGAAGAGTCTCAAGATATTGCTTGTAATACATGGAAATACACAGGTATGAGTTGATGTGCTAAATGTCTTTTTCCTCAGTTTTCGTATAGAAATTTTATTTTTTTTTCATATAGAAATTTGTATTTTTTTCTTCAAAATGACGTTTTTCTAATTGAAAATATTACTGATTGCTTCTTCAGTGCACTTCAAGTATCTTAGTGTTTTATATTGACTTGGTTTTAACTTATTCCTAGATCCTATTCCTTCCTCTCTATTTGTTTGCCTTTCCTACATAGTTAGAAAAGTGTTCCTTAATAGGATGATGATGTGATACAAGTTTGAGAAGCACATAGAATTTAAGTAATTGTAGTTACTTGAAGCTGTTCCTTAAATCCTATGTTGTTGATGCTCCTTTGTGGCAAGTTAAATGTTTGTTGTAGCAAACAGTAGTAGTGGAGTATGGGCTAAATACTGAGTTATTTTGGTAATACCTAACACATCATGGCCATGGTATTGATAGGATTTGTGTACTAGTACATTGTGAAAATGATCTTTAAATATTAAGAATGAGCTACTAAAGATTAATTTTTATATAAATTGGCAAGCTGCTTTTTGACTGCTTGAAAAAAAGGAATGTGCTGCACAAAGTCTGTAAAGTTAGTGGAGTATTTTCATTGCTAGGAGTATGAAGTAATAGCTGCAGGTTATAATATGTATGCATTTTCAGTCACCCAGTGTAAATAATGTCGAACCCTTGCCCTCACTGGAAGATTTAGACAATACAGTGTTTGTGACAGACAGAAAAAGGCGATTGTCTGTAATAGGTAAGCTACATATTTTAATATCTTTAATTGTAAAACCTTTCTTTTTGTAATAGTCTCTTTATTAAGATCTTGCTATCAACACAAACTATTTGAATTTCTCAGTGATTCTAATATAGAGTTGTACTTGGGGAGGTGGATTTTGAATTTTTAGTCAAAGGTGTTTTAAATATATATATATATTTATCCCAAGGAAATGAATCTATGTAGAATTATTTAAGATAACTGATGGGTATCCCAAAAAGTTGATGTTAGTACTCCCTTTTATTTTCAGGAACAGGAAAGAGTTTCTGAAAAAAGAATCTGTTAGTTTATATGGCAGTGAATTTCCTTGCTCAATTTAGGACTTGTATGTTTTTCATCTTAATGTGTGAACATTTTTTAAGATACTTTTGGCATTGATATAACCTTTTTGTTTATTCATGTTTAAAATCTGGTGTAATATTAACTTCCAAATTTAATTATAAAACTGGAGAGTTTAATGAATAATTTTCAGACAATTTATTATGCATTTATTATGAATAGAAGTATTCATATTCTTGCAGACCTAATATTCTACAAGGAAAAATTGAAATTCTCAAGAGCTGGAAGGAATGAGTTGACATGGGTGAAAGGGTTTGGATCTTTACTTGTTTCAAAAGAAGAAATGCACACAGCTGGATGTGGAGGGAAATTATATTTCTGTTCCTATAGAACCAATATTCTTTTTAAAGCCATTGAGGCAACCCTGCTCCATACTTTTCATAATTCCTGGATTACAGATTTTAAATGCTATATATAAGTATTGCATAGGCATTTGGGAAATTTCTAAAGCAAGCAGTGAGCCAGGCAGGCTCAGTGCCTATGAAGCATTTGAATAAAGCCCCTGGGTTCTGGGTTATTGAAGAGACTCTAACTAGCCCTTTTCTTTCAAAAGTTTCTAATACTCGTGACAGAAGTTCACCTCCCCCAGGATACATTCCAGATGAGCTGCATCAGGTGGCCCGAAATGGGTCCTTCACCAGTATCAACAGTGAGGGTGAATTCATTCCAGAAAGCATGGATCAGGTGTGTATGTGATTTATTAAAATTAAAGTTTTTGTTAGTTTGATCTATTAAATACTGCTATTCAAGAAGGGTGTGGAATTGTTGGAAAAAAACAGCTAAGAAGTGACAACCCTAGAACATAATTTGTGAGAAAAGGTTAAAATAATTATGGTTTAGTCTCGTAAAACCTGTTTTAAACTCTGTAAGTCTCTTCAGTTATTTAAATATTTTCCTACAAGGAGAAAGATAATATTCTTCATTTCCATGATAGTTGAGTGAGGTAATGATATAAATTACAGCAAGAGATGTCTACATTAGAAAACACAACCCCCTTTATTTTAATGAGAAGTATCTGTAAGCAAGACAAGTTGTACAACTTTCCCAGGTGATTAGAAGAGTTTTTAAAGAAGAGTTTGGATCTGGGTTGATACTCTGGTGGTGTAGAGGCAAAGGGATGGAGATGGGTCTGGTACCAAGAACCTTTGAAATAATTTCCACAGTCATGTTTTTGTGTGAGGATCACTGTATGCTTTTTTGTTCTTATTCACCTGCATTATTGGTGTGGGATTCATCAGCACACTTAGCATGAATAAAATGCTCTCTGAGTATCAAAATTGCCCTTAAAAACAGAAGGAAAAGATGGAGGAATGTAATGGCTCACAGAACTGGCAATAGAGAAAGAGTTATTTAAGGAGGAAGAAAAAATAAGGCTGCATACCCAAATCACATTAAGTTCTTGTTGACATTGGCGCTGTATTCACAAATGGCAACAGGCAATGGTTTTTATGAGCTGACTAAATGAGACACAGATGATAGAATAAAAATAGAGGGGGAGAGACTGTGCAATTTGTTGCACAATTTTAATGACTGAGCTGGGAATAGAGACTGAATCTCCTAATTTCTAGACCAAGGTGCTATTCATTAGCATATCCATGTGGTCAGATCCAGCCCAGATCATTCAGTGGAATGATTGCTTTTGGCCTGGGCAAAGTAATTTTTGGTCACTGGTCAGACAGACAGATGATCTCTGAGGCCCAGGGTGTCCTTTTACTCCAGAGTATTCAAGGTTACAGCCTGGCATGTATGCATGGCTGTGTAAGCTGTCAGCAGTATTTAAATACAGGAATGTTACTTTCATGGGAAGCCAGGATAGTTCAACCTAAGAAGCCTCAAGGGCCAGATTGGGGCGTTACAAACTCACAACCTTGGTTTGCTTCCTTTCCCTTAAGTTGCCAAATCACATTGGCAAGTGTTGACCATGCTGTCTACATCTGTCACAGCCTGCCTTACAAAGACAAGAAGGGAATTTTTGAGTGGAGGGCTTTGCTCTGCTTTCCTGTTGATCTGCATGAGCCCAGCTATTCACACTCTGACAGCCTACCTCACACTTTCTCTGCAGAAGAGATGATGGGTTAAAGTGGGTCATGGTCTGCTAGTTTTAACATACTGCATTGTTGATGTTGTTGATTGGTGCTTGGCAAAGTATGTGCCCAGGACTTTTAAGATGCAGCACAGACCATAAAAATTGGAGGGTAACTGTTCAATTTACAGCAAAATACTGGTGTTCAATTCACAGAAAATAATAGATCTTATATAATAGCCAAAGGAAACTTTATTTTAGGAAGCAACTCATTTTAAGACAACAGATGAGCTTTCCTCTCTGTTTTTGAAAAGGTAAAATTGTCGCATTTAATAGTTCAAAATTTAGATTCTGTTTTCACTTCTGCAAAATGAATCTGTGAAACATTTCAGATTGCTTTACTGCAAAAGAGAAGGGAGTGATGTTTGTCATTAAACTTAGCACAGGTAGTGTGAGATAAAATAGATGTCAGCCATAGAAATGGCTGGTAAACAAGAGTATGCTCATGATAATCAATTTCTTTTTCTCTGGATTAGAGTTTAAGAAGCCAAGTTTTGTTTTCATTATGTAATGGATCTGGCCTAGATAGGTTTGGCTTCTTCAGACTGATACCTGGCAGGTTTCATACAGCTCATGAACATTGATTACTAGATCATCAGATGTGTTTGGGAGGGAAATAATATGTCTTTGATGTTTTTGTAAACTCCAGTTTCACATGAAAGTTTAGTTTATTTGGAAAACGGAGTGTGTTTATGTATTTTATGAATTCTTCCTCTTTCTCCTTCAATTTTCTCTTCAGTTCTATTTAGAAGTAACTCAGTTGGAGTCCTAACTAGAGATGTTAACAGCATTTTAGAGTATTTGATTTCAGCTGGTTTCTGTGACTCCTAGCTGGCAAAGTTTGAGCCATTACAGAAACTATATAAATTGTAAGCTCACAATCTGTCACGTTTGAGATTCTTTTTTCTTTTTTTTCTTTGACATTATTTTTTTTAACAGTCTCAGCTTTTTATCCTTTAAAGGACTTACTTTTGTTACTCTGTTTAGCTACCCTTATGCAGATGTTGCCATAATATTAAAAGACAGTGGTGTGTTCAGGAAGAATGTAGCAGTACAGCTTATGTACAAAGCATGATAGAAGATGAAATACCTTAACTAAATTTTATTTAGAAGTGAGAAGAATGAAAGAGTCCTTTCAGGATTGCAGAATGCAGTGCAGGTTCAACTATGGCAGCTAACTTTAGTAATTAATTTTTCTGGTTTGTTAAGTGTTTCAAAGCAGAAACCTTCATTTAAAACCAACCAACACACAAGCAAAAACAACAAACCCAACCCAAATGCAAACAACTTGAACTTGCTGGTCTTTCTCTGTTTGTTATTTATTAGATGCTGGATCCACTGTCTTTGAGCAGTCCTGAAAACTCTGGCTCGGGAAGCTGTCCCTCACTTGACAGCCCTTTAGATGGGTAAAAGTTACTTGCATTCATTATTCATCTTGATTAGATTGCATAATGTATCTGTTGTAACATGTAATAACTCTCCAGTGACAGCTTTTACTGAACTTCTTCCAGAAACTCTTCTGCAAGTTACAGAACATTGATAAAAGCTCATTGAAACTTAATTGCTTACTAACACATGGAAAATAGAATTATTTGTTTTTTTAGTAAATTGTATTTCAAACACAGAAATTTAGACTTTAAATCCTACAAAAATGTACTGAAGGTTTTTACTCAATTTTGCCCATTTTATATATATGTGAATCATATTCCATGGCAGTGAGCCACCCCATCAGACTTTAATTTCTTAGGTACTGTCCACAGTTTCTCAGCCACCAGGTAAGCCAAACAAAACATACTCCTGTTTCGCTTATGGTTGGTCAGACAAATAATAATTGGGTCTTACGTTGTGCAGATTTGCTCTTCTTTATTTGGAACTGCTATACAAATAATACTGCTAAATAAATATTTAATTGATAGATAAAAAGTTGGAAATCATTACCTATGGCAATTAGAGCTACAGTATTGCATAATAACATTTCATTTGAGGATATGTGATCTGAGGACACAGATCCATTTAATCTAATAAATTTTTGAGTTAAATAACTAGTCTCTATTTCACAAGTAAGAGAACAATACATGCAAAAAGTATTTTGTGATTAGAGTGTGATAGGTTATACACACAGGGTGTTTGATGCAGCTACACAGCATAGCAATTCTACCAAATTGCCAAACTTTTAGGGTTTTGTGCGGTAAGGTGAGTGCCAGAAGGGGAAACAAAACCATCTTAATTCAACTCCTGTTTCTCCAAAACTTCTTTTTGTTGTTTATTATTTACTTTTGTCACCTCTACTTAGTTTGTTTTCCTTCTTTTTTTTTTTTTTATTCAAGTATTTCCTACAAAGATGTAGGTTTTGTGTCTCCATTTAGCTTCTGTTACCCATTAGAGAAATTCTTGCCAGAGAAAGGAGGACATTGTTTTGGTATATTTATCGGTTGCTCTGACTGGCAATCCCATCCATTCCTTTTGGTGGCTGGGAGTTACATACCAGCTGTAGGTAAGAAATGATATGATCGTATAAGAGCCAAAAAATTCTTCATCATTCTATAACTCAATAAAATTACTCTCTTAATCCTATGAATTCCATGGAGAGAAAAGGAACTATTTTGAGACATTAAAAGGTTCTACATTTCTTTGTTTCGATTTCCTCAAGAGTTTTTGTAGGCTATGTAAGACATTTTGCCAGTCTATAAAACTTTGCGTTTAGCCATAAAGGTGTTAAACACTACAGTGCTCCTTTGTGGCTTTACTTGTGATAATTCATGTTTTTACTAATACCATTGCTCATTAACAATCTGTTGCTTTCTTACTACATTAAGCTCATCAAGCAAACTTTTCCATTGTTACTGATCTTGAATTGTTATTGATACCTACTAGATTTTATTCTCAAAATTGGGTTCCACATTTGTAAACCAGTGCAGCAACTTGTATAACAGTAATTTTTCATCAGTCATAAAGAACTTTGAAACAGTAAGATAAAATCAAGTACCAGATTAACATTTTTTAGATACTGTGTGTTTTCACGCTTCCAGAGACAACTATCCCAAATCTCGGATGCCAAGAGCCCAGAGCTATCCAGATAATCATCAGGAGTTCTCAGGTAGGCAAAAATCACTGAATATACTATCTAGAATTATTATTCTTGTAAATAAGGGCTTAGAAGGGAACTTCACACTGAGAAGTATTGTATTACACAAACTTAATATGGTAGGAGAAAACAAAGTCACAGAATCCAATCCCAACACACAGAGTAAAATATATGATGAAATATAATATCTTCCAAATGTTTTTTTTCTTCCTGGATTATGTGTAATACCACTGTTAGTGTGCGAAGTATTAACTGTGTGCTTCTCTGAAAAGAACAAATGATGCAGTGGGGCACACAACAGTTGTTAAACTGGACTGTAATATCCATGTCGAAGTTTGCACATAACCTTGGTTAACTTATTTAATTTTGAAGTGTTGTGGTTTAACTCCAGCAGGGAGCTAAGCACCACACAGCTGCATGCTCTCTCTCCTGCAGTGGGATAAGGGAGAGAATTGGAAGGGTGAAAGTGAGAAAACTTGTGGGTTTAGATAAAGGCAACTTAATAGGGAAGGCAAAGGCTGTGCATGCAAGCAAAACAAAACAAAGAATTCAGTCACCATTTCCCGTTGGCAGACAGATGTCCTGCTTTCCTGGAAATGGCTAAACTTCATTACATGTAATGGTTGCTTGGGAAGGCAAACACCATGACTCTGAACATGCCCCCTTCCTGCTTCTTTCTCCCAGCTTTTATTGCTGAGCACAACCTCATGTGGTATGGAATATCCCTTGGCTCAGCCGGGGTCACCTGTTGCAGTTGTCCCTTCCCAACTTCTTGTGCACCCCCAGCCTGCTCACTGGTGGGGTGGTGTGACAAGCCAACAAATAAAAGAAGCCTTGATGCTGTATAAACATGGTTCAGCAATAACTAAAATATCTCTGTTATCAGTGCTGGTTTGGCCAGAAATCCAAAACATAGCACCATATAATATACTAAAAATAAAACTATCCAGCCAAAACCAGTACATGGAGTCTTAATTTTCTCCTGCGTGAAATGAGGATCACTTTAAAGTGTTCATGACTTCTGTAATTGAAAGCACTGCAAAGTGATAAGATGGAGAACTGTGTGCTGTGCCTATAAATTAATCATCACTACTAATACTGTTTTCATATGATACTCTGGCTCGAGTCCAAGTTGTTGTGCATGGTTCAGGATATGAAGTGCAATGGGTAACCCCAAAAGTGCTGTGAAGTGTCTCTCATGGACATGCTTTGCTACAGAATTTTGCTGTTGAACAGTAATTAGCTCCCAGTGAATCTGGGGTGTGTTGTGGGGTTTGGTCCATTCTGTACTCTGTTGTCTTCATATTTTGTTTATGAAACTTTATCCAGGTAACTCTGTGATGGTGTGTTTTTTCTTTTAGGGATTCTAGCGTGTTTAAGAGATTGCACCACTTTTAAATGAAAATAAAAGCAAAACTATGTAAAAGAGGCATTTAGATGCCAGAGATAAATACCAATAAAGTTAATAATGTCAAATTAGTTTGCCTTTGTTAATCTAGTTTATTTGTGTTTATTACAGTTACTTATGAGATAATCTGGTATATTAACAATGGGATAGATAGTGCTCATTAGTTCAACATTTATTCTCATGATTTGATACGAAACAAAAGCAGAATAGTATACAGAGTCAAAAAAAATATCTATCTGGCCTAGTTCTTCCTCCTGCCACAACCAGTACCAGGTTTCTGTAGAGAAGCATGTCATATTCCTTCCTCAGAATATATTCCTGGTCATGTATAGCTTAAGGGTTCTGTAAATGGAAGAGACTCTTCTGTGATTCGATGGATTCCCCCCCACACACAGATTTTTCAAGTCTCTGTTTCAACTTGTATAAACTTCTTCAGTCTCAACAGTATGTTGTGACAAGAAGTTGTGCAACTTACTGCATTTTATGAAGAAGTATGCCCCTTGTGATTTTTTTATAATAGACTTTGTCTCCTTTTCTAGTCTATAGAAGCCAACATTTCTTATGGAGCAGCAATTTTGTATCTTTGATCATCTCTGTACTTCTAAATCTTTTCCAGTTTTACTAAATTCTTTGAAATTGAGTGGACCAAAACTTCGTTCAGTGTATCTTAATGATTTATAGCATTTAATTTGCTTCTTAGCCAGTACAGGGAATTCAGCAGCTGCTTTATTTTAACTCTTATCACAAAAAAAAAAAATCCCCTTTACACTAGCCTACATTGAAGTTCATCTGCCATTTTAACATCAAATCAGATAGACTCTTAAGGGCTTTCTGTAATTCTTCTATTGGCTCCAAATGATTTTGTCACCTCAATATTCATTGTTCTGTCCAGAGAATTGATGCATAATTAAATAGTGCAAATTGTAGCCAAGATTCTTGTGCAACAGTTCCAATAGAACTGTTGACAATTCACTCCCATCTTTCGGGCTTATCTTCAAACCAATTATTTATGCATGAGGGACTTTACCCTTCATCTTATGAATGTTTTTCTCCTTCAATATTTTTTTTAAGAGGACCTATTGAGCGATTTTTCATAATTCAAGCTTTGTTGACTTTCTCACCAATTATTCATGTTTATGCATATTCAAATTTTATTCCTTGTAATGGCTTCTACCAGTTTTCCTCTAGAAACTGTTTTTTAAACCAGAGCAATTAGGCATGCTGCAGTACTCTAAATTCTTTCAAGCAAGAGGTGCGAAACCACTTGATCTGTTGAATTTTTGATCTTTTAGAACTTTTGGCTGAATGTCATTATAATTTCTTGGGATTTTTTTAGATTTGTGGCTTTTGTTCTGCAGTTTTTTTTTCTCTGATATTGATCTTGAAAAAAATCCTCTCATATGTTCCACTATGTTTTAGTTTATTATACCAAACTGATTAACATGCTTTTGTCACATTTAAAATTTTGAAATGTAGCTTTTTATTTTCTAGTAGAGTATGATATTCCAATATTTGAGAAATTTGGAAAGGGGGGAACTTATCCCCGAAGATACCATATTTCATATAATCAGCAAGACTACAATGATGGTAAGTGTTAATATTGTAGGAGTTCTACTTTATTAATATGTTTTCTCTCTTAATCGCTTAAGATTGTAAAATCTTAATGCATAAAAAAATTGGAGAAATTAAAGATTAATTCTTTCCCCAGACTCACTTGCTCAAATTCTAATGACTGGTAGAGCTCCTGAGCAGACTTAACCTCTGGTAAAGTTACAGGTTACAGAATTCATGACTCATGCACAGCTATCAAAATGCGCATGCCCAAAGATAGAGAACAAGTCATCCAGTATAAGCTTTTGACCTTTGTGGCACACACCCCTTCCCCTTCTCGATTCTTGTAGTGGCCAAAACCTGGTAGACTGCTGTAGCTGAGGCTTTTCTCATGGCCAGTTTATGTATAACATAGAATATAACTCAGTATGTAACAGTCATGTTATTACATTCCAGAATGATACTCTAACTTTTTTTCATAGTCACCATACTGACTGCTGTTCAGTCTCTGGTCCATTATAGATCCTATATCCTTTTATTTTGTTCCTTTTCCTTTTCTACATGACTTTTAACCAACCAATTACTTTATACTTTGTGGTTTCTGTATTTGATTTCTCTTTTTATCTATGTTGTACTGCCTTACTGAATTTCATCTTGTGGATTTCTGAATCATCTCCAATTTACTAACATCATAAATTTTGATTTTTATCTTTAAGTAGACTTCCAGCCACACCTCACTTGGTGTCATCTGCAATATTTCAATGTATCGTGTTTATCATATATATATATATATCATCAGTTAAAATAGCATATGGAAGTGGACTGAAGGTAAACTGCTGGGGGTGTCCACTTAAATTATCTCCCTCTCTGAGAAATAACTTATAACTGCTCTGAATGTCTTGGATATACTCTACATAGTAATTTGGTCTATGCAAAACTTCACTGGTTAGCTTAGGAGAATGTACCAATGAAATACGGAAATTGGATTAGCTATATATGACAAACGAATTATGGCTGCTTTATCACCTTATCTTCTCAGTGGTTTATAAAACTGCTTAATTTGTTTGCATATCTTTCTTGGAATTTATATCTGCCAGACTAGTATATAAGTCTGCATCTATTTTTTAAAGATATTTTTTCTGCCTTCTTCAGTTCCCCTGGGAACATCTTCTCCAATGTAATACCTAATGAATCAGAGACTACTTCAGCTATTTTTGAGTTCTGTAGGATGAAACTTCATCAGGCCATGCTAACCTAAAACTGTTAGTGTTATCCAAATAACTAACACAAGTCATGTTAATATATCTGGTTGTAATTATTATTTTAGAAGATCAATGCCCCCCCCCCCTTTTTTTGTTTTGTTTTGTTCTAATGCTGTAGCTATCTCTGAATTATGCATTGTTTGTGATTTCTATACATATGTATATGTATGGTCTTCCTGTTGATTCCATGTGTAGGTCTTTCTCTGCATTCAGTTCTTTCTAGCTTACAGGGTGAAGATGCCAGCCTGGGCACCACTGGAATGTAAACAAATACCTCTCTCTCCTATTTATCAAGAGAGTTTTATGTCTTAATAAAGCAACAGAAGTAGAGGCAGGGCATGTTCCTTTTTCCTCTCACAGCCCTCTTGGTTTGTGAAGCACATTGATGATGTTTCAGAACAGTTCCAGAATTTGGTCCTAATTTCAGTCACTTAAATGTAAACCAGTTCTTGTTTCAGTCTAATTCTTAGATACATCTGTGGTGAATGTTTGTTTTTGTCTAGGTGGACAGTTAAACCAGTAAATTTCATGATCATTACATCATAGAATCATAGAATAGTTAGGGTTGGAAAGGACCTTAAGATCATCTAGGTCCAATCCCCTGTCATGGGCAGGGACACCACACACAAACCATGTCACCCAAGACTTCTTCCAGCCTGGCCTTGAACTCTGCTAGGGATGGAGCATTTATCACTTCCTTGGGCAACCTGTTCCAGTGCCTCACCACCCTCACAGTAAAGAACTTCCTCCTTATATCTAACTTAAACTTCCCCTGTTTAATATAATATGCTGCAGAAGATCTGAACTACATTATGTGGAATTCATAAAATACTGCATACACATATTGCATAGCAGTGTTTTTTGTAGTGTAATATTAGTATTCTTTGTATATCACTGAAGGTCGTAAAACTTTTCCAAGAGCCAGAAGGACTCAGGGGAATAGCTTCCGATCACCAGTTAGTTTCAGTCCCACTGATCACTCACTGAGCACCAGTAGCGGAAGCAGCGTCTTTACACCAGAATATGAAGATAATCGAATGAGGAGGAGAGGAAGTGATATAGACAATCCTACCTTGTCAGTAATGGACATCAGCCCGCCCAGTCGCTGTAAGTTAAAGCATTTTGTGAACTCCACTGTAAAGCTCTCTTACCTTTCAAGTATATAATGTCAAAACTAAGTGTGTCATCAAAATATGTATAATTGAATAATGGTTTTGTCTCTCTAATAGGGAAAAGTCAAGACTGTATGCTCAGCAGTTTTTTCGTTGCTTACTGTGCCAACCTTCATGCAGATTTTCACATGGGAATTGCATCTGTAATAACAAAACACTGTAAAACATTTCTGATGATTTGTTAGACTCTTGAGGACCTGAGAAAGGTTATCTAAATTGTAGTTACCATTCATTATTGCAGATGTTGTTCACATCTTCTGATAAACTGTAGGACTTAAGTGGTACTGGTTTATACCTGTGGTGGCATTTCAGGAGCAAATTTACTTTTTGATTACTTCAGTAGCTGGTACATTTTAATCATGCCTCAATTCTTTTTAAGTTGTTACTAAGTTATTTAATATGCTTTTCTGTTTTAAGTATGTCTGTCTCTACCACAAGGTATTTTGTGAATAAATTTAAGTAGCTTGTGTTTTCCATCTTACAGGAAGTTTTATTGATCTTTAACTTAACTGGGAAGTTTTAGGACACGTAGTTTCTGTTGTTGAAAATGTAGTCTTTTAAAAAACTATTTTCTATGTATTCCAGTTTTTCTCGATCAGCTGAATAACAGGCTCATTTGAAAACAAAAACATACTTATATTTTCAGCACCACGAGCTCCAACTAATTGGAGACTTGGTAAGCTGCTGGGTCAAGGTGCATTTGGCAGAGTATATCTGTGTTATGATGCTGATACCGGAAGAGAACTGGCTGTTAAGCAAGTTCAGTTTGATCCTGACAGTCCAGAAACCAGCAAGGTAAGCGATACCAAAGAGAGTTTGCAAGGAGCTTCTGTTGAAGTGGTGTGTTCTAAACTAGACTGATGTTACTTTTCTTGAACAGCCTGATGTTTTAAAACATGATGTGTTTTCATGTCTGTCAGTAATCCTGTTTTGTAAGTACTTTAAGGAATTAGTTTGGTTAGCTGATTTTAATGTTGCATCCCATTTTTTTTTTTTGCTTTTGTTTTCAGACATATCCTTTATACAGCAAACATACGTATCTTAATTTGGTATAGTCTCAGCCTTTAGAACTAAACAATTATTATCAAGTGTGCTCTGAAATAGGGAATTATTTATACGTACAGGAATTGGAACCAGTTCCACTCAGAAGCAGAAAAATCTGTACTAATTTAAGTATTCCCAAAAATAAATTCTCAAGGATATTTTGTTCGGCTTTGAAGACAGTTTGAAATTTATATCTTTTGGGGGGAATTGTTTGATTGCTTTTTGCTTGGGTTTTTGTTTGGGTTTTTTTGAACCTTGGGCATCAGGGGAAGTTACTGTTACTTGCTGTATTTCTTCTTGAAGAGCAAAAGTTTCGTTGACAGTTTATTTCACTATAAAATGAAACTGGTCCTTCTTTAAATACTGGACACTTGAGGAAAGAAGCTATTTTAAAGTAGCACTGATCTTCTCTGTCTTTTTTCCTAAACTGTACTTGCTGCTTTCAACAGGATGGAAAAAGAATTACTAACTTCCTGCATTAGGACTGCATTCTGCACTGTGGGGAGCAAGGCCAGGGAAACAATGGGTGTAAGCATGATTGCAGAACTGAATAGCTACTAGTTGTAGTTGCTGCTACTAGTGATGTAGGATCAATGAAAAAAAGACAAGAATCATTTGTGCTGTAGATTCTAGTTGTTGTTGCTACTTCTTTAAAATGTAGCAGAAACACTGATTATGCTTTGAAGTGTTAAATATAAAATACTGTAGTCTGTCCTGTAGCAACAGTTTTGTGACATCTGTTGTCATAGCATTTTGTAATGTGTCCCTTTTGGTATCAAAAAATGTTTTTCTTCTAACCTCAAAAGAGCAAGGATATCAGTAATAGTCTGTGATAGATATAAAGTAAGTTTTGGTGAAAGACTTATAGGTGAAATTTGGAATCCAGTCGAGATTGAATTCATGGGTTAGTGTTTTTCCAGCATCTTAATACACAGGCCATTTCAAATATCTTTCTGTTTGCAAAAGTTCTAATATTTCGGATAGCTCTAGGGAAAGCACTGTATGTGTTGATGTCGTTCTTTGTTGCATGTTATTATCACAATGCTAAGTGGTCTTTAAAGGTGTTCTTAAAGCATAGTCTGTCATCCTGGAAAAGTCAAGAATTAATGCTAATTATTGCATTACAAAGGTATAAAGATTTTTATTTTTTTTTGTACCCACTTGGAGGATTGTGACATTTTGCATAATGATCACTTCATGCACATAGTGGTACCTGCTATGCTCTGAAACAAATGTAGCTTCAAAACCAGAAAAAGACTGGCGTAACACCAAAATCATCTTAAAGTCAGTTTATAGAAAAGCCATATTTTTTATTTCCTTCAATCTAACAGTTACATTTTCTTACTATAAGATGTATAAAATTTACATAAGCTACAAGACTTTTTTTTCTTAGCTTGCATAAACATCCAGTCATGCTTAAAAAAAAAACAAAACAAACCCACAAATCCAAAACATTACTATTCCTATGTCAAACATGGTAAATTTTGTCTTGATTTTTCCTTTTAGGAAGTAAATGCACTTGAATGTGAAATTCAGTTGCTGAAAAATCTGCTGCATGAAAGAATTGTTCAGTATTATGGCTTCTTGAGAGATCCACCAGAAAGAACACTCTCTATATTCATGGAATATATGCCTGGGGTAAGCAAGAGAGACTGTTCACTTCAGCCATCATTACTATGCAGTATGACAAGCACCCAAGTAGACGGCTTTTGCAGTAGTGCACATAGATATTAAAGAAATGTCCAAGTGAAAAACAGTACCCAAAGATGGGTGCTGGCAAGAGCTTGCAGCAGCTGACATTATCTATTGCTTTTTGGGGGGGTTCAGAGTTAGATTGATTTGTACAAAAGTTCTTTGCATTTGATTTTGGCATAAGACGTGCCTGGCAACATCTTTGAAAAACAGTGTTATCATTAATGAACTCACAAATCTTCCTGAATTTTAATGTTCCTCCTTGCTGTGCATCAGCTTGTGCTGTTGCAAAGTCACCATGTGAAGTGCTCAGTTATTTAAAACAAAAAAACAAAAAACAAAACAAACCAAAAACAAAAAAAAACCCACCTAAAGCAGCTAAGATGGGTGTGGGAATAAGTGCATACAGAAAATAATCTTGGTGCTTGCTTTCTGTGGGGCATTCAGGTACAGTTGGATGATTCTTCTACTGTTTTGTTAAGAAACTAAGGTCAGAAAACTGTAGATTTTCATTTTCTCACTAGGTGGGGTCAGCAGAGCTAAATAAAATGTGCTTGTATAAAAACACAGGCTCTATTTCTGCAGAGTTACAGCATTTACTTTGCTGTGACACTCCAGAAGAACAGTGGCAGTGGGGGGAGTTGGTGATGGAAGTGAGTTGGAGCTTTCTTTATTTGTTTCTTTTTTTTTGGAGTTTTTTAGGTGAGTTCTGCACTCTTAGGAGGGGCCTTGTTGAATTTTTCTGAGATTTGAAGGACTGTCACAGAAGTAATTTTCTGAGATTTGGAGGACTGTTACACAGTTTGTAACTGTGTAACAAAGCCAAGTTATACAAAACTGTTGCAAAAGCATTAATTTTTTATTTCATGTTTTTTTAAGTCAAGAATTTCTTACCTTTTAATTTTTACATACAGCACCATCTTCCAGCATTTGGTATTTTTGACAATCTTTTTTTTGCCTGAGTATAAACTAACCAGAGTGAATGGTGTGTGTTCTGTTCAAATTGAGCATCATCATTTAACCATCAAAAAATTAGAGTGGTGTTTAAGTGAAAGTACTGTTCTTTTACTGTACATCATACTGGAACTATTCAGCTGCTTGACAATTTTAAAGCTAATAGGTTAGCATTTCAGTATATGAATTCTCTGTCCAGCCTTTTTTTTTTTTTTTGTCAAAGTGTGTATTTTTCTCACTGGAGATAAAACTTTAGCTGTGCTTATAAGCCAGTCTATATAAGTACTGCAACTTTAAGTGTCTGCATTTCAGGCATAAATTTTATTGAAGTTCAGCCACAGTATCAGCCCACTTGTGATTCTAGAAATGTTAGTGGTTTATACTTTTTGTTTGCCGTAGGGTTCCATTAAAGACCAACTGAAATCATATGGAGCACTCACAGAGAATGTGACTCGTAAATATACGCGGCAGATTTTGGAAGGAGTTCACTATTTGCACAGTAATATGATTGTCCATCGGGATATTAAAGGTAATGATAGTTCTGTGCACAGTTCAGTGCTCCGTGCTACAGATTCTGTACCAGTTTTGTGTGAAGCACTAAAATGTGTAAGTTTGAAATGCCAAAATACTGACTTAAAATCAATAAGGTTGCTTTCCATCATTTATTCTTGTTCACTGTTGTATCCTGAAGGGGAGAATATAAGCATCTTTGTGATGTTCTAGCAGACTTCTGGCAATGCTTGTGGCATCTTGTCTGCAAAACAATTATAACAGATTTCTTTCTAGTTTTAATATTAATAGTTTTGAACATACCCAAGGATGTCATTGCAAATAGAATGTGCAGAGGAAAGTATCATGATTTGAAAGCTTATTTTTACAGAGTTTTGTTTCATCTATTATATAGAAGTTACCAAACATTTCACTGGTACAAGAAATGACTGCAGAGGTGACTTGCCTGGTCAAATGACTTGGACTTCTTCTATTTACTGACAGGAAACCTGAGGAAACAGACATTTTTACTTTCTGCAGATAGATAGGTACAAGACGGCTTGTGTAAGCAAATTTATAAATATGTAGAGAGATGGTGATGTGCCAAATAGGTGCATTGAGCACAATGTTGTGGTATTCCCTAAAAGTTTCACAATTTTCCTGTTGCTTTCTATCAATAGTGTTGTGTTCCAAAAAAAGTTGAGTTATCATTGTCAGTTTGTACATACTTATGTACATAAGTGTTCTGAAAAAACCTCGGAGACAGCCTGAGGTTTTTGTGCCTTTCATGAATGTAACAATGTATTCTCTTCCTTGCAGGAGCAAATATTCTGCGAGATTCAGCAGGCAATGTGAAGCTCGGTGACTTTGGTGCCAGCAAACGACTGCAGACTATCTGTCTCTCTGGCACAGGAATGAAGTCTGTCACAGGAACTCCATACTGGATGAGTCCAGAAGTTATTAGTGGAGAAGGGTACGGCAGAAAAGCAGACATCTGGTATGTTAAAAAGGAAATAATTTTCTTCTGAAGGTTATTTCAGAATGGTCACTTTTTCGAGTGTGTAGGTGTTTGTTATCTGAAGTTGGAGTGTTTTGTGCTGGGATTTGAGCTGAAGAAGGTGGCAAGTATGAGCACTTAGTGTCATAGGATATTTGGAGAGTGTAACACTGAAATTTGGGAATTTTTCATTTGGCAGTTTCTTGGCCCATCAATTTGAACAACATAAAATTATCCTGTGGACCAGTCCTGCATGAAGTTAGGATTACCAGACTGTGGGTCCTGGAGAGGGACTGGGTGATAGCAAAATGGGAAGCTTTGAAGCAGCAGTTAAGTCAGTGTCCTGTAATGAAATTTCATTAATGAAATACCTTTGATGCAAGACAGAAAATGAAATGCAGGTCCTTTAAAAAATGAGCACATAAGAATGAATTTACCAGATTTAAATGGGAAGTATCAAAAAATAATTTGGTTTAAGTTGTTATTAAATACTTAAGAATTAAGAGGGAAAGGTAATTTTAAAAAATGAATGCCTGTGATACACTGTGTAATATGACATAGTCTAGCATAGGTCCAGCCCGGTGGACAGATGATTTTAGTGATTAGATTCCTTGCACTGCAGGTGATCTGTGAACACACAGAATAATGGGTAGGCAACAGTAGAGATGCAGTAGTAATACTTTGTTTAAAAAAGAACTGTATTTTATCCAACCAGTGGCAATACTTTAAATATCAGGGAAATTAATTTGGCCTACTTCAGATCACTTATTCAAGTATAGCAGAATAATTACTATTAGAACAGCCTTATAGATTTCAGGCAGTTGGCTTGTTCAACATTGAAGTATTTGTACCAAGGTTAATAGATGTTTTTGTGATGGAGAAAATTCTCATTAAAACTAAGAAAAAATACTGAAGTTTGACTTCAGACAGTCAGTAAATCCTATTGTGTAAATAAATGTGCCTCTGTCTAACCATAAATTTCTTGCAAACATATTAGTAAAACATAAAACTTCATGAAAAACGGGAAATTATTCCAGCTGTCCATTTTGCAGTATCATTTGCTTGTTATTGGAAGAGGCTGATCTTGCAGGACTTACGGAACAAAAATTTTCTGGCCACATGCATATCTTTCTGCCTTCCTAAATCCTTTAAACATAAGCTTTGTATACAAAGATTATTTAGGATCTTAACATTTTGTTTGGCAATTTAAGTGTGTTTTTAGTATCCTTAACTAGCAGAGGAAGGTACCACTGAAGTATGGTTTTCAACTTTTGAGGTGGCCATGTTATGTTTGCACATTACTCATGTATTTTTAAGGAGCTAGCAATATGTACAGGATACTCAAAGCATTCCTGTTGCTTTGCATTTCCGTTAGGCCTTAAAGAGAACGAAAGCTTTCAAGTGCATCCAAATCCTGCAGGCGTCTGAAGAGCTGGGACACACAGGTTGTGCAGCACTGGTGGCCTGCATCAACCTGCTGAGCACTGAATAGTGCAGTGCCATAACACAGTTGGTATTGCCTAGATAAATACCTGATTACCTCTTCCTTGACATAGTAGCTTTTTGCCCAGTGAAGTAATAAAGTGAAGATGTAGGTAGTGATGTGTGTAACTTTAAGATAGAGCATACAGCTATTACATGCAGGTTTTTTAGAGCTGTTTTCCACTGAAGCTGCTCTGTAGAGTTAAGTGGACACTACTTACCTGGGGCATTTTAGTCGCGTTCTGCTATTTCTTTGTTTTCATAAAAGGGCATGACTCTGTTGTAACCTGCTGTTTCACTTCTGCCTCTGTTTCAGGAGCGTAGGTTGTACAGTGGTAGAAATGCTAACGGAGAAGCCACCATGGGCAGAGTTTGAAGCAATGGCTGCCATCTTTAAAATTGCCACTCAGCCCACCAACCCCCAGCTACCACCTCATGTCTCCGACCATGCTCGGGATTTCCTGAAACGGATTTTTATCGAGGCCAAGCTGCGACCATTTGCAGATGAACTGCTAAGACACACGTTTGCACACTATCACTAACAGCCTGCCTCAACTCGGCTTGCATCTACTGCGTTTATTTTCTATTTGACTGCACTTTTATTTTTTACAAAAAAAAAGGAGAAAAAAAGACAAGAGAGAATTTTTCTCTTGAAACTTTGTTTCACTTAGATTGTAAATAATCTAAATTTTGTATCTAAGATGAGAATCTTCTCTCCCCAGCTCCCACCAGGACTAGAACTTTTAGTTCCTATGATGTACTGATGTGGTTCATGTAGATAAAGCACTTTAGTACATATTTGTTCCTTATTTAACGAGGAAAAAAAAGAAGACAAATGCTTGGACAGTCAGGAACTGTGTGACTTTTTCTGACACCACTGACTGACTCAGGGTGCAGGGAAAAACAGACATGCAGCTAAAGGACAGAAGGTTACTTCTCTGTGATTCTTCTTTACATTGTAGGTACTTTTGTGGCAGAGAGTTCTAAGTTCTTATATTTTAGCAGTTTAATCAGTTTCTGGATTTTACAATTTAAGTTGGAACGTGCAGTTCTGAGAGTTAATGATAAAGCTAGAACTTGGAACTCTTTGTACACCAGTGTGTCTAATCGGTACTTCTATGTGACCAAAAGAAAATAACAAAAAAGAACTCAACACTGATGTACTAGTTTGAGGTTTCGGTGTAGAACTATTGCATTTTCTTATTAGGAAAATAACTACAGGCAAACAGATTATAGAACCAGACTCCTCAGAACTACTATACTGCAAGGGGGAAATTTCCATAATAGACAAGGGTCAGCTGTTGGATGTAAATAATTAGGAGAATGCCTCCTGCTGTATCTGCCAAAGAGAACCTCTGTTGCATAAGCTTGGAGGGCAACGGTTATCTTAGGTAAGGAATAACATTGATGTTGAGAATCAGTTCTCCTCCACAGTCCCATGAATAGCTGGAGGGGGAGTGACTAATCCTTGTGCAGTATATGAGTTACTTGAGTCAGAATGAGCTATAAGAAATGTTTTCAAAGCTGTTGAGAGGCACTAGGATGGAATGTATGTCAACATCAAGTGCCTGAATAATACAAAATTCTCCCCATTATGCACTAAAAAACCTGTTCTAGTAACACAGTTCAGTCATCTGGGATGTGTTGAAAATTCCTGAAATAATTAAACATCTTTAATGCCAGGAAGAAATCACTGAGAAAGGCAACACTCCATTTACATTTTTAATAAGGTCGTGATGTTGAATCCACATAAATAAGGAGGCAGAGCACAAAAGACTGTATGAAGAATAATCCAAATGTGCAAAGAGGGCCAGCAGCTAAATAACATATGTGATTACTCCAGCCTGATAATCCAGATGATTGGTGTTTGTCGGATTTCCAGCTGTCATAAAACATACGTTAATCACTTTTTCCATTGCTGAAAGAGTATAATAAAAGAACAAAAGGAAAACTCTGAAATACTTCTTCTCAGTTGAGAAGTCCAGGTACTGATCAGGTGTAGAATGACTGACTTTTCATAACAGAGAAGTCGAACTCCCATAGCTTTGTAGAAGAACACAACACAAATAATTTAAAGGGTATTTGGAAATAAACTGTTGGACTACAGAACTGAAATACTGTATACTGTTTTGAATGATTCATTACTTGCTTTTGTTGTTTAGTGAAGGCAGAGCAGGTTGGTACTGTGAACCGTATCCATGTTGACAAGGTTCTACCTGTTTTGTATCTTTAGAGGACTATCGGAATTATGAAGTGCATGGAGACAGAAGAAGCAGCTTACCCATTCCCATGGTAGCTCACTCATGAGATTTCCACATTTATGCTGCTAACTTCCAAATTTTTTATCGGAGCATAAGCAGGAGTATGGCTTTATCCTAATCACTTTTACCTGCAGTGGAGCAAGAATGACTTCTTTTGAGTCTGTCATCTCTCCTGTGACTGAGGGCAGTGGCTTCTTTGGTTTATATGAGTATTTTGCCCAGCACTTAGAATTTTCTCAGTCAAGGTACACAACTGTGCAAGGTTTTCTGAGCATGGGAAGAACTAGCCAAGCCAGGGAAGGTTTAGAAGACTGAAAGAAAAAAAGAAAGTCAGTTTGTACTGACATTTTTTTAGTCACTTCTCTGTCACTAGATCAAAACTATGGAAGCAGCTTTTGAGAACTGATATGTACTCTGCTGTAAAGGACTTTTGCTTTATAAGCAAAATTTAGTGACAGCAGGGATGTAGAGCATAATAGTTTATGTAGGTAATTTAAATATCATATCATCAAAATGATTGGTTTCAAACAGATAAAGAAGGTACCAAAACCAAGATGAAAAATGTATATAAAAATCAGTATTGGACAGTGATACCTGAAAAGGTAAGGAAATTTTCTATTACCAAAAAGGACATTAAAGGGAAAATGTAACCAGGTTTATCTGTAGCATTCATAACATTTAAATATACTATTCTAAAATGAAACTGCACTCTCTGAAGCTTGACAGTTTTCAGAATCTAGTTTTCTTATAATGTGTCCTTTTTGTGAGGCAGTGCTGGCTCATGTATATTGCAATATCACTTTCTTGTTGGGATTTTTTAATTACTGAATAATCAAGTTTGCTGCTTTTGTGCCTTTTTGAAAAAAATGGCATTCAGTCATGACAACGGTAAGCATTTTGGAGCCAGGAAAAAGGGAATTGCCCGAAGGCATTTTCCTTCATTTCTTTGCTGCATCAGAAAGCTGCCAACATAGAATGCTTCTTAAATGAAGATGCTATTTGCCAGTTAAAGTGATTCTAGTAAAATTTTATTAATTTAACCAAGATTAGGCTTGAGCTGTTGTTTTTTTCACGCTATGGAGACTTTGTCTGCTTGTTAAGCAACTTACAGTATATTAGATAGATATTAACATAAATATTTTGAGCTAGAAATAATTACGAAGCTAAATCAGACTTTTAGCAAAAGGCTAGCCTAGTATGCATCCCTTACTGCGGTAATGCGGTAAAACAATCTGTAGTACCTCTGTATACAATGTCTGTAGAACACTTACGTTGGCTACTGATAATGAACAAACGCTAGTTCTAGAGCCTGAGAGAACTTGAGAGGGTGCATGGAACTCCATATTTAAACTTCCAGTTTAAATCCCTGCTTGCACCTTCTTGTATTTTACTAACAAAGATACCAGCATTTTAGAATCATGAATTATTCTTAATGTTGGATCCAATGACTCGAAAATGCCAGTGAAAACAATCCCATTGCAGGGTGTTTTGCTTTCCTGTAAGTGCCACGATGAAGCGGTTCTTTCAGTCAAGAAGGACCGAGGTTCCCAGTGAGTATGCGTATCTTCAACACTTACTTATTGGCCAAAGAATTTTATTATTCTGTCTGTTGCATGTATTAAGTAACAACAGTTGAACTGCTTCTTAATGGTGTGACTAACAGACCTGTTAAAGTGCAACTGAAAATTTCAGTTGTGTTAGAGCAAGTTGTGTATTTTTAATCTGCGTGATAGAAATATCCGTGTGGGGACATAAAAAGGTATGGATCCAGTAACTGCAAAGGTAAATTGGCCTAGGCTTTTTTTCCTTGTCAGTTTTAGTCTTAAAATTTGGAGTTACAATTTGATTTGTAGCTAAACAGTCCTTTCAGTGTAACAACACAAAAATGTCTTTGTTGTTTTTTCTTTTTTTAGCTAGTGCCTTTTTATTTGTATGCCTTAATTTTGTTCATATTTGAACACCGTGTTGAAATATGTCATACAATTCCGTGTCACCAAAGAGTCTTAGAATATGGGCACTTTTTCGCAAAGTACCCAAACCAGAATTTGCCTGACTACGTTGAAAAGTGTGCTTTAGTTAGAACCTGCGGCACACGTTTACATTCAGAACTTTAAAAAGTGATTTTTTGAGCACTTCCTGAGGGCTTCCTGTGCTAATACAGGTTTTGTATTTGTGGTTTGGAGATTGTACACTGATGCACATATCAGAAAAGGGACTTTTCTGTACTCACAGAAATACTGTTAGAGCCAAGATTTAGCTTCCTAGCTCTGGGTACTAGACTCTGGGTTTACTTTAGAGATTGCAGCAGCATTCATAACAGACTTGGAGTTATAGTTGGTACATTTGTAAACGTGGTACTGAATTAAAAGCTGTTTACTTTCAACACACAAGATACAATGTGTCTAGCAAATCAGCAGATTTCTCAGTGAGGCTACCACCATGCCCATGACATTCTTTCCTGTGCCTTTTGGGTAAATCTAACCTGCCGTTGTCTTGACTGAAAACTTTGTAGCAGCTGTAGGTACAGTGCAGAACAGCAAGCCATTCTTTGGGACAACACAGAGCAATGTCTAACCACAGCTTGAGCAAATTGGTCAGATCTACAGTTATTTATAACTGATTTCTTACTTTTTTAATCTTGAAAGTCTTTGTCACGCATATAGAAGAGCATAATGTGTGTGCTTGAATGTAAGTCCCTATGGTGTTTCTGGAAAAGCAGAAGTATTACTGCCAGTATCATTTCTTCTTGCTGGTAACTTGCCGTCTTGTGTCAATAGCAAGTCTGCAGTGTAAAATCACATACAATTACCAAAGCTTTTCTATCCCCGTATACATATAGCCAGAAGTGATGTTTCATGAATTAGTACTGTTACTTAGAGATATATGTATATCCATCAGAAAGCTACTGCTGATTAAAGCAAGGTACTAGTAAAAAGTGATAGACACTGCCCATATTTAAGAGATTTGGGTGTTTGTAGTCACTGTTTTGATGTGCAAAATTCATGCCAGCATTAAAATGAAGAGTTTTCTTTTTAAAACTCTTAGTCTTGTAATTTTAAAATTAGTGCATAAGCTTGGTGACTAGACCTGGTGACTTTTGCAGCCGGGTCTGAGCTTTGAGAGATTCAAGGCACACCACAAAGATAAGCAGATTTGTGACCCGAGCTGCTCCATGTACTATAGTGAGAACATTTCAGAGCTACTGGGGAGCAGTCTGTTTGACCTTATGGCAACATGTCACCCACAGCTACCTGGGTGTCAATGCTGCCTTCAGGAGGAGCCACAAATGCACACCAGTGGGGGCAGGCAGAAATGCCACCAACCCAGGGTTTCTGAATCAAAGTCCTCAATCAGAACCAAAGGAGCTCCTTTCTCTCTTTATTCCCCCCACTTGGTTTGCATGGGTTTTCTCTCTAGTTGGCGTAACTTCGGTACTGCATAGGTGGTGGCCACCCACAGCTCCTGAATAAGGTGCGAGTTCATGCACAGCTTTATACCAGGGCCCTGTCACTTGAATCCAGGTTGCTGCAGCTTCCTGCTTGCTGGAGTAACCCTTGAGTTTTCCCTGGCAATATACATATGTGTGCTTGAGGGGTCAATGGGGTGGAGTAAATGAGCTTCCTCACGTGTCAGGGCACCGATGCTAGCAGGCACGCTTCGTCTAGGTCTTAGTTTTTATAAATTTATTTTAAAGGGAGAGGAACTGGATAAAAACAAATTAAAATTTTATCTTACAGTTCAGCCCTTAAATTTAGGCCACCGATGAGGATTGGAGGTCAGGGTCTTCTGGAGAGAGAGAGAAGGAAAAGGATACTCTTGACTCCAGAGTGCATAGTCATAGGAAATATTTCAGAGGTTTTTCATGTCTTTCTGCCCAAAACTAGATTATCCTTTTTCCCAGAGGTTATATAATGTGGATTTAAAACCAAGGATTGCATTTTGTTTTCCGAACAGGCATAAGATTGTCAGTTCCGTAGTGTTTGTTTCTCATTAATATCAGTAAAAAAGGTGGTGTGCTCCTAAAATTGGAACAGTTTATTAAAGCCTAGTGTCTGTCATCTCAGGCCTCGCAGAAGTCATGTAATGGAGTATCACTGTAAATACATGGAGGAGACTTAGATGAATTGGAACGTAGGCTTTTAGTTTTCATGAAGCTATGAATAAAAATTTGTAAATTTTCTCTTGATCTAATGTACATTTTAATGTAGCCATTAAATTCTCTATTTAATCTATCAGTTTCTCACTGTAAATGTTTTTACTCTCAGTTGAATGCTGGGCACAGTTTGTAATGTATGTACACAAAGGTGTTTTTTTCTATCAACGTTGACTTTTTTGCACATTTTTGGAAATATTTAATTTGTACACTGATTTAATACTCTGACCAATTGTTGATGGGTGTATGGGAATCACGTGTGCGTGCAATGTACTACTGTCTGGATGTATGGGGTTTTTTATTACTTTTTGAGATGTTGCTACCAGTAACTGCACTGCTGTTGCTGCTTTACATGGAATATCTTGTGTATAAAAAACAAAAAAGAGATAAAAAATACAATTAAAAAATTAGCCTATGGTTATCTTGGTTGAGGAACTCAGGAGTTGAGTATTGCTTGCTAGTTCCGTTTGTCCAGCAACCTGCCAAACCGAGAAACAGACAAACAGACCCCCTTGTAATTCTGTGTATGCATTGAATGTGTGTGTATATATGTATCTCCCGGTAATCTTATTCCACAATTTCATTTCTACATTTTTATGAACTTGTTTTTTAAGGATACAATGTTTAGTTAGAATAATTAAAATATATAAAAGCTTTGAGAGATGATTTACTAGATAAATATATTTTCAGCTGGCTGATGTTCAAAATATTTTTTTAATTTTTGTTTTTAACCATTCGAAATGTATTTGTATTTCCAAAATCAGACACGAATTGTACTTAGAAATCTATTAAAACACTCTGTAGGGACAACAGTGTCATTTCTCTTTTCAGAGTTGTGTGCTGTACAGCGATGCCGGATGTCAGGAGGGTTTTTTTCTTTACTTTATGTGCGGCAGCCTGTAGTGTTAGGTATTGATTATTTTACCCCTCTTTCCCGGTCTCGGCCCGTTCTCTCCGCTCTGGACCGGAGCCACAGTTTCGCCGCCCTCCCGCGTGTCCCCCGCGAGGAAGCGGCCCGGGGAACAGAAAGTTGACGGCCCTGGGCTCAACTCCCCCGCTCCCTGCCTCCTCCCCTCCGGCGCGGCGGAAGTGACGAGCGGGCGGGCGCAGCGGTGCCACGGACGCAACGCAGACCGGCGGCCATGGGCAGGAAGGAGCGGGGTGCGCGGCGCAGGCCGGGGTTGGGGGGGGGGGGGGGGGTCGGTGCCGTGCCTTGTGCCGCGGGCCGTGTCACAGCTCCGGTTTTGCTTGCAGAGAAGAAGAAGGGTAAGAAGCGCCATTGCGATGAGGACGAAGACAATGAAGATGAAGCTCCCGGCAAGGAGTCGCAGGAGGCAGTGCCGTCCGCAGCGGGGAAGCAGGTGGAGGACAGCGGCACCAAGCTGGACGAGTACGGGGCCAAGGACTACAAGCATCTGATGCCCCTGAAGGCTGACCACGCCTCGCGTCCGCTCTGGGTGGTACGAGTGGCCTCGTTCTCTCACCCCGTCTTGTCTCCCCGCAGAGGTGGCGGCTGTGCCCGCTGCGGGTGGCCGCGCAGTTAGGTGCGCTGCGGTCGGGCTGCTGCAGGTGGGGTTTTTCTCTCTCCCGCCGCCCCGTGAAGGCGGTGGGCCTGCGGCCCAGGCCGTCCTGCAGAGCAAGCCCCGCTCTCGGGGGCGGTAGAGACGCCAAGAAAGGATGGGTTGGTTGTGTGCGCGGGTGTAGAAGGCGAGCGTCAGAGTTTGGCTCTGGAGAGGGATTTGCTCTGGTTTAGGTGTGAGGCTGCCCCTGGTCAGCCCGGGAGCCCCAGAGCTGCTGCCATCCCACGCGGGGCTCCGCGGGCTGCGGCTGTGCCATGTACCGACAGGGCCGTGAGTGCCTTAAGCCAGTTGCTTTTGCCTGTGAGGTAGAACGGCTTATGGAAGTGGCTGCGTTGGCTGACGGCACAAGTGGGGTCTGTTGTTGCAGTGACGCAGCAACGGGGGCTTCTGTTTTGAAATGAAGCAGACTTAGGACAGGCTGGTCTCACCATCTGTAAACGGTACCGTTTGTTTCTTCTGCCCCAAAAGGGACATTGAGAAACTTACCCAAGACTCTGTCAGTAGTGCAAACATATAGAGAAGAGGTGGTTACCCTGCCAGTGTCTGCAGGGTGCTCTTCCTGAATGCTGTGACATGCAAGTGCTGTCTTTCCATGCATTCCATGTAACATGAGTGAGGAGTTTTGTATTGGTTTAGAGGAGCATGGCTGAAAGGTTGTGCCTGCTTGCTTAGTATTAAAGAAGAGATGAAATACCCCCATGTGTTAGTCTGGAAAAGCTTACTCGATCTGAGAGTGGTTTATTCTTAATGCTGTGGAAGGGACATGGACGAATCAATGTCTGAATTCTTTCAGAAGACAAAATTTGCATGTTCCTGTGTTTCCCTCTTCTTATGTGTTTGCCCTAACACAAAAGTCATTTTTTTGAAACCCTGTGACTTGTTACTACCTAAATAGTGGACTGTCTCTGTATTACGGCTGCCGTGTAGAAAAATCCTGATCCTGTTCAGCTAACACAGTTGTGCCTTCAGTGTTTCTCTTTATTTCTGCAGGCTCCTGATGGCCATATTTTTCTTGAAGCCTTCTCTCCACTTTACAAATACGCACAGGATTTTTTGGTTGCCATTGCTGAGCCTGTGTGCAGACCAGCCCACATTCATGAGTACAAGCTGACTGCTTACTCACTGTATGCTGCTGTTAGTGTTGGGCTGCAGACAAGCGACATAATAGAGTATTTACAAAAACTGAGCAAGACGGGTGTCCCAGATGGAATTATTCAGTTTATCAAGGTAAGACTGTTTTATTAGCACTGGAAGTACATCTGCTGCTACTAGTGACATACTTTCCTGCTCCCTCTGCTTAATTGATTTTATTTTGTTTTTAATTATTCTGTTTCAAGATGTCATGGTTTAGCCCCAGCCAGCAGCCACTTGCTCGCTCCCTGCCCTGGGTGGGATGGGGAGGAAACTCTGAAGAAGGTTTTGAAGACAGGTTGAGATAAGAACAGTTTAATAATTGAAATGAAGTACAATATAATAATAATAATAGAAACAACAGCAATAGTAAGGAATTAGAAGAAGAGAGAAAGAGAAATGAAAATTCAGAAAACACAAGTGATGCACAACACAACTGCTCACTACCCGCCGACCAATACCCAGCCTGACCCCAGCAGTGATCTGCCCCTTGCGAGTATCTCCCCCCAGTTTATACACTGGACACGACATGCTGTGTCGTATGGAATACCCCTTTGGCTGGTTTGGGTCAGGTGTCCTGTCTGCTCCTCCCAGCTTCTTGTGCCCCTCCTCACTGGCAAAGCATGAGACTGATCAGAGTAAGCATTACTTAGCAACAACTAAAACATCAGTGTGTTACCAGCAGTGTTCTCAGACTAAAGCCAAAACACAGCACTGCACCAGATACTAGGAAGAAAATTAACTCTATCCCTGCCAAAACCAGGATACGAGAACAGAGGCTTTATCTTATTGTTTGCCTTTGATAGTGTATTGCTGCACATGTGATTTTTACAGTATATTCTGTGTGGGGTTTATGCCTTTTTCAAGAATAAAAAATATCCCCAAGCATATCCAGACTTTAAGCCAGTAGGAATTGTACGTGGGGAAAGTTTCCTCAGATTTGCTCTGGAAGAAGACGGTGGCTGTGAATGTCTTTAATGGCCAGACAGAATAAAATAAAACGGAGCCTACCTAATCCTGCAAGTATGCTCTTGCACGTCTTGGAGGCTGATGGAATTGGCTATAAAAAATGAGTATCTGTGACCGATGTGCATGAGATGATGTGTGCATCTTCTGAAAATTCCTTTTTAGGTTTCTTCTGTAAGCAATACGACCTTGCAAGTAAATGTTCTGTGATAACTATGCTTCCTCAAAGACCTAAACTGCATTGCAGCACTTGGTCTCAAACACAGAATTGCTTTTCTGCCTATTCCTAATGACTGCTTTTGTTCATTTCTAGCTGTGTACTGTCAGTTACGGGAAGGTGAAGCTGGTACTGAAGCATAACAGGTGAGTGGTTGCTTCTGTAACTGCTGTGGCAGAGAAAGACTCCAATGCATGCCTGAGTGGACTCAGTAGCTGTTGAGTCTTATGGCTCCTTACTAAGTGGAGCATCTGTCAATACAAGATCACTTTTTCAGTTGTTGGAAGTATTTAATACGTTATTCAGTGAGTTCAATGAGTTCGGTTTGTCTGTCCTGAGATACTCGTACTTGTCATTACATTTTTAAAAGTGTGTTGCAAATTTGATATTCGAGCTTGTTTCATTACTGCTTGGACTTGCAATGCATTCTTAATGTTCCTTCCAAATTTCCATGAGCCTGGTCAGACAAGTTTTTCCGCAGCTGTCCTTAAGTCTTGTATATTCCGATTCGTAATCCATTGTTTGTCAGGCTGAGAGATCGATTGGCAAGAGATGCATGCTTGTTGCTGGGTTGAATCTGGCTTGTTTTAAACCTAGAAGATAAAGTCGGAAGGATCCTTGTTCAGCTTGAGGTCAGCTTGTTTAGACCTATCCAGTTTTATCTCGACCTGTGATTCTGCAGTAGGCAGAGGGAAAAGAAGGGGATGGGAAAACCACAAAGCCTACAACTGTCCCTTGCCTGTGTTTTCTCTTTCTCCTTTTATTTCTTTTGCCAAGTTCTCTGTTATCTGACAGCCATGGGTAACCTCTGGGACTGTAACCTAACACTGTGCTTGTGCTGCTGCTCTTTTGAAGCTGCTGCTTTGGGTAGAATTAACACAAATATTACTAGCAGGATTTTGTTGTCTTCCTGGGTGTTTCTGAGAAGAAGATACCTCACATCACTTAAGGCTTAACTTGGCTCATATTTTAAGTGGGATCTTGTCGTGGTTTAAACCCAGTCAGGCAACTTGTTCACTCACTCCCAGTGAGTGGTGCCAAGCTGACAACAATCGAAGCCCCCCCCCCCCCCCGGTGCTCTCCCCTTCCCCGCTCCCGGAGGAATGGGGAGGAGGATCGAAAGAGTACAACTCCTACGGGTTGAGACAAGAACAGTCCAGCAACCAATGTACAACACAAAGCACC